GCCGTCTCTCACTTCATCATAGCCGGTGATGTTTAATCATCTAGTAAGGATCGAATATGGATTCGTGGCCCCCAGAGGCCCAGGTGTCAAAGACTTGGTCCCCAGGGTGAGGCTCCTGGTGGGAATGAGGTAGGAGGTGGGGATGAGTGGAGTTCCTCATCCCGTTGCTTTCTGGCTAGTGAAATGAGAGGCTCAACCTCATTGGGCCACTGGAATCTCCAGAGCCAAAAAAACTTTCTCTATAAGTTGCTTTAGATATTTCATATTTCTTCACTACAGTGCCAGAAATCTAACATATTCATTTCTAAAAAATTCCGCATTTCCTCAGCTATACCTAGTTATAGAAATAATATTAATATTTATTAATATCACTTTTGTGATTTCATCCTTTTATTTTAAAAAACAGTTCCAGTGGGGGGAATCCATGGCTACTTTTGCTACTGCTGCTTTCCCCTCAGTGTTGGGCCAGTCACGTCGATGACTTTGGTGGGGCTCACACAGGGCCCACTGCAGTGACCTGCAGCCCCCGCACTCCCTCTCAGGCATTAGCCTCTCCTCTGCTTCCCAGTGAGGAGGGGCTAGGGGCCAGGCCTTGGCACCTGCTGACTCCCTGTGGCTAACAAAGCACTTGAAAGCATGTTTCCCTCATGTCAAACTGTCTGATAGGGCATATTTGCCCAATCTCCTTTCTGTGCACCCCGGAGGGCGGAGGCCCTGGTCTGGCTCATCTGGACAAGGGCCATCAAAAACACCTCCCCTCACCCAGCAGGGCAATGTGATGTGAGGGACTTGGAAAGCCGGATGTCACCCATCCCCCTAGTACCCTCACCGCTCTGCCTTCACTTTGTCAAATGGGACGCAAGGTGAGGGGTGGAGTGAACCACCACAGAAGGCCCCATGGTCTGAGTATCTCACCCTACCCCACGGGTGGCCTTTCTCCCTGCTCCCCGTGGGAGGGCCCAGGCCCTGCCCCTGCCCTCTGCCCTCCTCAGGACACAGCCTCTGGGGAGTCCTGTCAAACCAGGGCTCTAGGCAGCCCCTTGCTGGGCAGGCCTTCTTACCTACGGACAGTTACTCCAGGATGCCAGTCCATAGTGACCTTGCCACCCTCTTAGAACTTCATTTCCCCGCATCCTCCACTCAGATGATGAGGATGGGGGCTCCCTGGGGACAGAGGGCACAGAGCACAGCTGTGAGGTGGGCGGTGTCATCTCTCAGCCAGCTGCAATGACACTGGTTCACCAAGGACACCCCTTCACAAGCTCCAATTCCAGGACTGCCTAGCCCAGGCACATGCTCCTTCCTTGGTCCAGCCTCCCCACTCCCACCAGCCCCAGGTCTTAGGGCAGCCCTTGTACTCCTTGGTCTCATTCCCCACCAACACACACACACACACACACACACACACACACACACACACACACACACACACACACACACACACACACACACACACACACACACACACACACACACACACACACACACACACACACACACACACACACACACACACACACACACACCTGCGCACCCTCCACACTGCCCACTGCTGTCCAGCCATGCCCTTGTACTCCCTGGTCTCATTCCCCACCAACACACACACACACACACACACACACATTCCCCACCAACACACGCACCCTCCACACTGCCCACTGCTGTCCAGCCATGCTCTTGCCTGGTCATTCCCCACCAACACACACACACACACACCCTGCGCACCCTCCACACTGCTGTCCAGCCATGCTCCACACACACACACACACACACACACACACACACACACACCCTGCGCACCCTCCACACACACACACACACACACGCACCCTCCATACTGCTGTCCAGCCATGCTCCACACACACACACACACACACACACACACACACACACCCTGCGCACCCTCCATACACACACACACACATGCACCCTCCACACTGCTGTCCAGCCATGCTCCACACACACACACACACACACACACACCCTGCGCACCCTCCACACACACACACGCACCCTCCACACTGCTGTCCAGCCATGCTCCACACACACATACACACACACACACACACACACACGCACCCTCCACACTGCTGTCCAGCCATGCTCCACACACACACACACACACACACACACACACACGCACCCTCCACACTGCTGTCCAGCCATGCTCCACACACACACACACACTGCGCACCCTCCACACACACACACACACACACACGCACCCTCCACACTGCTGTCCAGCCATGCTACACACACACACACACACACGCCCTGCGCACCCTCCACACTGCCCACTGCAGCTGCAGGAACTGGCATGCTACCCACTCAGGCCAGTACTTCAGACCCAGGGCTAGCCAAGGCCTCCAGCAGCCAGGCCTGGGCTCCCAAAGGAGGCACTCTTGTGTGGCTCCAGACTGTGCTGCCCAACAGGGGCAGGAGATGCGAGGGGCAGCCAGACCTGGCAGAGTCAAAGCAGGCGGCAGAAGGAAGAATCTGAAGCCAGGGAAGCCGATGACTCCCTGCTGGAGGTGAAGGCAGAGGCGGCCCACCGGAACAGGGAACATCCAGCTCATTTACTGTCATCGTCCTGAGCAGCACGGCTGCTTTCCTGTCACTTTGTACTCATGTAAGAAAATGTCATTTGCAAGAAAAATCAATAGGTACAAAACAACATCCCACCCCCATACAGTGCTGAGTAATATATATACATAAATATATATGCATCTATTTACAACAGATATGAAATAGGAAAGAGATGGCTCCAGGCCCATAGACAGTTCCTTTGGGTCATAGTGAAGCATGTAGCCCAGGTCCTCTGGGTCTGTACACCCACACAGAGGACAGGGCTTTCAAGATAGCTATTCCATACTCTTCTTGGCAGCTGGCCAAGCGGTCGCTTCCAGGATCCAAGCCAGGGGGGCCCCAGTGTCTCCCCCTCCCCCAGCCAGCCTGCCTGTAGGGCGCTGGCCCCAGCGCCCAGCGGGCTGTGGCAGCTGCAGTGGGCTCCCTGTGACTGCCCCTCAGCCCCTTCATGTCCCTGGGTAAGCCAGGGCCCCACGGGCTGGTGCTCCAAGGCACCCACCCGCAGGGTGCCATAGCCACACACAGGCCAGAGAGGGAGGAGCTCCCCACCACTAGGGGTGCCATCCTCTCAGCCTCCCGGCTCCTGGAGGCCCAGACTCCCCTTTTCTCCCCCAAGAGGGGTTGGAGCTCCTATTGCCATCCTCCGCTCCACCCCGTCAGTGCTCCAAGGTCAGCCTACACCTCTTCTTCTACCTTCAGGATCATTCCTGAGAAGACTTCCAGGCCTGGGGGAGATGCCACAGAGCCTCTGGTGGGTCTGCGGGCCACACAGACAGCAGAGGTGCTGTCTGGGGCTGAGCATGAAGCTTCCTGAGCTGAGACCCCTGTCACCACCCGCCCCAGGGTTTGGTTGAGAGCCTCGAGGCCACCGGCCAGCCTCCGGCTCTGCCCAGCCAGCTGCTCGGCAGCTGGCTCTGTTGGGCCATCAGCGTGCTCTGCTGTGACCAGGAAGCCAACAGGGTACCCCACTGCCCATGCACGTCCAGCAGCCATTGCTCGAAAGCCGATGCCTCCGGTGGTGTCACAGGGGTCCTCCCAGAGTGCGAGGGCCCGAAGGTCCCCAAGAGCGTGGCCACAGGGGCTGCCGTGGCTGGAGAGGAGGCAGGCGGGGAGGGTGAGGAGGCAGGCACATGGGTGACTCCGTGGAAGTCCAGGCTATCAGGTTCGGGTGGGCGGGGCCCATCCAGGGTTCACAGAGGCAGGTGGGGGCCTCATCCTCCTGGTCAGCTGGCAGGAAGACAGGAAGCTGTCAGACTGAGCAGGCCAGGGACAGGGACTGGGGGGTCTCAGCACTGAAGCTGGTCAGGGCACGGTCTGCAGTGAGTGTGTGCGCACCTGGCAGGTGAGGCAGCTACATTCCATAATGCAAAGCGGTGCTCTCCAGCAATGCCAGAACAGCACAGCACAGCCTCACCTACCCATCTTCTAGGGGCCTGTGCGGCCCTCCTCTTGTCCACTCATCTTCCTGTGTCCACCCATCCACTTCTGTGTTCCCCCTCTTTGTGTCTGCCTTCTCCCCACCTGTTCACCAATGGTCCAGATCACTTTGATGTACCCATCTTCCTTCTGTCCAGCCATCTACCCACTGTCCATTTATTTAGCGGCAGGTGAAACGGGAGAGACTGGCATACCCAGCAGACCTCCAGAGACACAGGAGAGTCCCAGGGGTATCCTGGGTGGCACAGCCAGTGAGGCCCACATGCTCAAGTCTCAGGAAGCACAGCCATGCAGGGAGACCGATCCCCAGACTCTGCTAGTCCACCTCCACTGTGCAACTGCTTCACGGGCCCAGAAGTTAGGAACCAAAGGGAGGGGACAGGCAAGTACAGACAGAGAGTACCTGGCACCAGCCACATGGGCACCCCAGATCATGTTGCAGGCCCCTCTCCAACCACCTGCAGGGCCTGAGGGACAAAGGGACATGCGGTAGCTGGCGAGCATGCACATACTATCTTGCTTGGTGCTGGCAGTCCATTCAGGGAGCAGCCTTGGTGCTGTCGAAGATCCTAGCCCACAGAAGATGGCCACATAGTAGACCAGCTATTCTGGCCCTAATGATATCACCAAAGTTGGTCCCAATGCATCTGGTGGGTTTTGTATTTATATCAATGGGGTCCCTGAAGACTCTCCTAAGCCTCAGCCCAGGGTCCACACAGCGGTCTCCTGGGACTCTAATACTTCCGGAGTCCCACTTGGGGAGCAGGCACTGGCAGTGCCAGCACAGTCCGGCTAGGGATGGGCTGGGGGGGGGAGCCCACTTACTTTGCAGGGTTTCTATAGCCTGGCCCTTGCCTTGGGGTGCTGGTGCTGAAAAGGTCTCGGCCACTGTGTGTGAGGACGAGGCCAGGGGCTGGGCTCTCGACAGCTTCCTGCACACAGCCCCTCGCAGGTCTGGCACTTGTGCTTGAGGTCACTCAGGTCCCGGTGACAGTAGCCCAGCGGTTCACGGCCTGTGGGATCCTGTTCCACACGCGGTGCTTCCGCACTGGCATGTCCCGCAGCGCCCCACACAGCAGTGGACAGTGACGGGCCACTCTCTGCACCAGCACCTCTGTCTCCTTGCGCGTCTTGGTGCGGGAGTGGGAACCTGGCAGCAGGTCTGCCTCAGCCATCGCAGAGCTGGAGCTTGGCCTGCTTGGGGCCTTCTTGCTGTTGGACCCTGGAAAGGCACCAGAAGCAGAGCAGTGGGCAAAGCTGTGGGAACACGCCAAGACCCTCACAACAGCCCGTGCTGCCTGGAGCCACACCATTCTCCAAGCTCTGCCTGCCTGGTCTCCAGCGGCTTGCCTGAGTATCCCTGTGGCAGGTCAGCCCTAATCAGTCCCTCTTCCCACTGGGAGGCAGTCCGTCACGGGGACATCTGGGGTGGACAAGCCATTGTGCATGCTGCACATTCCATTTGCCAGCCAGTCTCAAGTAGCAAAGGCATCAGCCGCTACCTTGAGAATCAACAGCAAGTGAGGGACAGGATGAGGACGAGGTGAGTTTTAGGGAGGGAGGGCTGTCACATGGAACAGGCCTTGGTGGAAGCCTGTTTCTGGAGGGGAAGTGGGGACGGGCTAGCCTTGGGCTATTTGGAAGCACCCCCTCAGGAGCCTGGCTCAAGCCCCACCACCCAGGGGAGCAGCGAAATGGGGGAGAATGCTCAGGATACTCAGCTCCCAGCTAGAGGCAGAGGCTGGTCCCACACATAGGCACAGATAAGGCACAGGTATGGGTGGGCAGCTGAGACCAGGATCCCAGTCGGAAAGTGGCAGGGTCTTCCTGCTGGCCAGCTCAGGCTTGTACCCTGGGCAATGGCAGCAAGGAACAAGCCAGGATGAGTGAGGCTGGCACCTTTGGGACAAGGGGATGTGCCTGTGCGCCTAGGCTCCTCCAAGGCCCACTGCCACAGGAGGGGGGCAGAGGCACGGCAGGAGAGAGGACACCACTAGTATCATTGCAGTGCCTGGCTAAGTAAGAAGATACGATACGTGATGTCCAAGCCAGGCTTGCCCTCAAAGGAAATAGTCAGAGCGTTCGGAGACCCTCACTTTGTTGGCCCAGTACCCTACACCTAACTTGCTAGGTGGGTTATCAAGACTGGGTTAAAACCATCCTATCTCCTCACTGTACCAATACAGGTGGTCAGCTCCTGGGCAACCCTTCGTGGTGAAGTAGGGGAGGTCGCAGGAGATACACAGAGAGGTAGAGACAGGCAGGATCCACCTCTTCTCCCCAAAGCCAGCCGTGGGTACCAAGGTAAGCCAAGCAGGCTGGCCAAGGAAGGGGCAGGTCTGAGCAGTGACACCTGGTTGCTCTGGCCTATGTTCCCTCTTCCAGGAAAGGCCTGTCTCTGCAGTGAGCGAGGATGGTGTCACTTGGCCCTTCAGTCTCTCCTGCTTCCTACTATCCCAGGCAAGGCAACCCAGCGCCCTAGCGGAACAAAGTAGGTTTCCTTGAGCTACAAACCTGCGGTCCCTGTTCTACTCACACCAGGGCCACAAGGGCTTTTCATGTCACAGGACCCACCCTGGGGAAGGGACTGATCCTGCCTCCCAGGTCCCCAGGACTTTCAAGGCTGTTCAGGGAGGGGAAGGAGTGTTCAGGACACCCTTCCCTGGACAGGCTTCCCATCCCCACCTACCTGCCTACATGGGCACACGCATTCCCTAGGGCCAGAGAGACCCAGAACCACCATGACAGCACCAGACTCCCAGGGGCCCAGGCTCTATCAGCTTACATCCCCAGGGCGATAGCTGCAGTCACGCCCCTTCCATAACTAGGGCAGCAGGCCCTCACTGTGGGGTGGGGTCTCTGGGCATAACAAGGCCCAGAGTGGACCATGTGGTGACTGTGCAGGACGGGAAGGTGGAGAGTGGGCACTAGGCCCCACCCTGCCCATGTCCAGGTGGCTCCACCAGGCACCTCCCGAAGGCCGGTGGCCAGAGTCAAGCAGGTACTCACCAATGGAATCTCCTTGCTCTGGCACCATGGAGCCAAGTCCCCAATGACTTGGTTCACGTCCAGAAAGCCACTCTGCAGAAACAGGACAAGCCATGTTAGGAGCAGGGGCATGTGCAAAGGGAAGCCCAGAGCCTGACATCCCTTAAGAGTCTACCTGGTCTGCCCCTTCCTGTCATAGGAGCAAGCTGGGCCCAGAACAGGAAGGCAGGCAAGGAAGAAGATCTCATCAAAGGCAGAGCAAGATCTTAGTGCTCAGCACCTCCCCCAGGCCAAGCCCAAGACACTCAGCATGCAGGGACCACATGCCCTTCCATGAGTGCAGGGGCGGCGGGAAGGGCAGCCTCATCTAGGACACAACGTCCTCGACACTGGTGGGCTCAGCAGGGAAGCCAGAGCTCATCCAGAGAGGAACAGTCTGCCCGCACCATCTGCATGCTGCCACGATGGCACGTCCTGCTGCTCTCTCACCTCTTCCAACCCCACCTGTCCAACTTTATTCTAACTCCTTTTTCCAGCAAAGTGGCCAAGATGGTCGTGAAAACCATGTGCTAGGGCTGTGCCAAGGGCCAGGCTCATACTGTCACCTTCACACCTGAGGAGAGGTTGAGGCACCCATGGGACAGAAGAGGACAAAGGAGGGATCAGGCCTTAGAGGTCCTGTGACCTCCCTGGCCTCTGGACACCTGGATTCTCCTGAGCACCACCGGCAGAGGTGCGCTCCTCTTCCTGCCTGCCATGAGATGCTGGGTGAGGCGGTGTCCTGAAGCCAGGTCTGCTCACTTACCATCCACAGGCACCAACCCTGCCAAGTCTCACATGGCGCCTGGTACATTACTGAGTTCAAGCCCAGGCTGGGGTAGCTCTTCATGTCTGCTGAGTCGGGCCTCTGCCCCGGCATGCCCGCCCTCTTGGAGCTCATCATGGAGCTGAGATTGATTTCCGCAAGGGTCATTTCACCCCACTGCAAAATATTACAGGGAAATTCATTTTCTTTTTAGGAGTGTTCTGGGAAATGAAGCAATTAGCATGATCTTAAACCGACATGTTCTATCAATTGCAATTCAATTACTGGGCTTAAATATGGTGAGTCGTGATGGCTCAGGGAGTAGCTGTGGCCAGGAAGGAGGTGTGTGGGGCTGGGGGCCTTAGCTCAGCTCCAGAGAGAACGACTGGCACCAGCCTGGGCAGTTTCTAGGCTCCTGTTCCCTCCACCTGTGCTAAGAGTGAGGTCCCTGGCTCATGATCCACCCAAAGATGGACATATCAAGGTCACAAGCCAAAAGCTTCTGGCTCAATTCAGTCTCAGACCCATTGGCCCCAACTCCACAGACTTCCAGGTTACTGATCCAAACCTATCAGAGGAGATATTTCTATCCTCTGGCTTTTTTTTTTCTTCTGGTATTGGGGTTTGAACTCAGAGCCTTTTGGGCAGGCACTCAACCACTTGAACCATTCTAGCAGCCCTGTTTTCTTCATTATTTCTCAGTCTGGTACATTCTTATCAAGGACAGCTTTGGACCCTGACCTTCCTACCTCTGCCTCCTGAGTACAGGCTAATAGAAGCATGCCATCACATCCAGCTTCTGGCTGAGATGTATCTCACTAAACTTTTTTTCTTGGCTGGCCTCTAACTGATCCTATCTCCACCTCTCAGGATGATTCTTGGAACTTAACTGCAGCTTTGGTGTGGAGACTTCCCTCCTTCTCGTTGGGATGCCATTCTCATACCACTGACTGTAGCACTGCTCAGGTGAGCCAGCTGTGGTTACTAGCGCAACTCCAGCCTCTGACCTTCAGCTCTCTGTGTGGGCTTCCCCCACACAGACCCAGGATCCCCTGGCAAGATCATGGATCGATGCACATAAGCCATCTTGGACAAAGGGGAGTCGCAGTTGGAAAGAAAGAACACCCTGACCTTTTTAGGGGAGTGGAGAGGGGAAGCGGCCTTACTGCAGAGAACTTCCCTCCCACAGACCCTGAGCAGGGTCAGTCTGGCCCCTCTCCTAGCTCATTGGGGAAGTGGGCAGGGTATGGACAGCCTGAGCTGTAGATGTCTCACGTCCAACTGACGCCCTTGCCTCTCCTATGGTTGTGCGGCCTCCAAGAGAGCTCCCAGCACTGCTGAACCCCAGGCACCCCAGCCATACCAGCCATGTCTCAGGAGTGTCACTGATGGGAGATCAGAGAGAGCTCCTCCTGGGCTCCCATGACCTTGGGCGGCATGGGACAGGCTGGCCCTACCAACCACCCGGATGCATTCTACTGGAGCCAAGAATGGACCCTTTTTTCACCATCACTCATGCTCCAGGGTTTCCTAGGGTTGTCCCATTCACCCTGGCCCCTAGAGCAGAGGGAGGATGAGGAGTGGCATGGGACCCTAAGTAGCATCAGCAGAACATCTGGGCAGGTGCCACAGGCCTGGGTCCTGGCCCTGGGCCTGTCACTGACAGTGGGAGGCAGACCCTGCCACAGCGTGGGGATGTGGGGCTGGTCCACATAGTCACTGGGCACCTGGGTAGACCTCAGTTGCTGGTGGGTGCTAAGTCCCAGATACACCAGATCCCATCTGGAGCCAGGGTGTCAGGTAGAGCAAGGCCAGCTTGCAGGCCCCAGGGCTCCCCTGTCTCGGTCCTGAGCTTCCCTGGAGGAGCCCTCTGGACCAAGCACCCTGGCCACCACCCTTGAGGCACAGGTGCTGCAGCTATGTGCCCTGGCGTGGGCAGAGAGGGAGCGAGGGAGACAGAAACATCTGAACTTAGTAAATGTTTAAATCATGCAATTATTTTCTGATTGCTTCTAAAACTAGAACTCATTAAATGCTCTCACAGAATCTTCTTTCCATAGAACTTTCTCCTATAAGACACAATAAAAGCTCAGTGTGAGTGTGTGAGTGTGTGTGTGTGTGTGTGTGTGTGTGTGTGTGTGCATGCATGTGGTATTCCCTCTTCACTTTAAGGAGGAAGAGAAAATATCACCACTACATTTTTCTCTATCACACAATCTCTTCTTATAATTAAGCTCTTGGCAACCATTACCTACAAAGGAACTGTTCCAGTTAGTGAACAGCTGACTTGTATATTCATTCATTCATTTGTTTGATTCTCCCTTTACCTGTGGTTAGCATGGGCCACACCAACCTCACCCTGAGTGGGGCTGGACACACCCACTGCCAAGTGGTTAGCGCAGCAGGGCCTCCAGCCAAGACCTTCCCAGACTTCCCCTTCGGAGAATCTCTACATCCAGTCCTGGGCCTGCCATGTAGCCATGGCGACAGAACAGCTAGTGTGCAGAAAGCCTGCACCTGGGTCAGGTGATAGACCTGCTGGGGAGCTCCCACAGGTAAGATAGGCTTGGCATGGGAGCCAGGTGCACACAACAGGCTGGCAGAGCAGCAACACAGTTCCAGCTCAGATAGCTGGATGGTACCCTGTGGGCCTGCCACACACAATGGCTGGGGCCCAGGGCCACGCCGACCTCCTCCACTGCCCAGGGGCAGGTGAGGGCTCCACCCACCACCAGAGTGCTGTACCTCTGTCAAGGCTACGTGGCTGGATGCCTAGGCTGAGCTGTTTGTGCTCTGGGTCTAGGGTAACCTTGGCTACATAAGCCTCACCTGACGTAGGGGTTGACTGAGAAGCAGCTGTGAGCATATCACTGTTGGGGCAGCCCAATTCTAACCTCAGGCTGCCTGTGCTCCTCCCCACCCGGCACACATGTGCTGTGTGACATGGCTCTCGTCGCATCTTTGATAAAACCAGAACACGGGAGCACGCACTGGGCATGCCTCCACAAGGGGCTGGGAAAATGCGTATGAATAGCAGCAGCAGAGCCATTATTAAAATGGCCACTCCATGAGCCCACCTCTCCCTCCGCCCCCTACCCACCTTGTTGCTCACCCACTCAACAGATACCCACAGCTAGAAGAGACACATCACTACCTCCACAGGCTTCCATTCTAGGGGAGGGAGACGGATGGTTACCGAGCTGTGGGCGTGTAATAAGCCTCCAGTGGAGGAGGATCAAGGCTCCAGGTGAAGGGACAACTGCAGAAGGAGTTGTCATGGCCTCATGAGGAGGCCAGCAGCAGTAGAGGAAGGAGCACAGCCGGCTGCATCTCCCAGAGAGCCATCCCAGTCCACCACATGCTCTTCCTGCAGAGCTATGGGACACACCTGGGACACACCTCCCTGCGCAGAGCCACGGACCCTCTCCTGGGCGTAGCCTGGCTTTGCCTCTGAGTAGACTGCAGTCTCCTCAGATACCTGAGCAGCAATCTAAGAAGTCTGAGCATATACAGCAGCCATGCTGTGGGGAAGCCCATGCTACAGGACGTGAACCGGTGGAGACAATCCAATAGACAGACCCTACTGGGTTCTTGTAGACCAGGCATCAGATGCAGAATAAGTAAGTGTCAGGGAGCTTCCAACCTCTAGTTGTCCAAGTCACCCTCAACTCAAGTCTTCCCACCTCAGGCCCCAGAAACTACAAAGTAGACACAAGCCAGCCCATGGAGTTGCCTTACAACTCCTAATCAGCACTCCTGACAAATGGCCCACCCAAGCATAAAGTGTTCAGGTCAGAGCAGGAGAGGGCTCCAAGGGATACACCTGCACTCAAGTTAGAAAAAGACCCATCGGAGCCAACAATGTCAAGACCAAGCCCATCATGGAGGCTGGCCTGAGGGTCCTCAGGCTGAGTACAATCGTGACAGATCAGCTTGGAGCCCCAACCTACAGCTTCTCACTCAGCACTTAATTGGACCTGATCCCGGCAAGCCAAGATCTACCCCACTGTTCCTGGACCACTGACCCCCTACAAGCCAAGATGCCCTCCAAGAGCCTTTTCTTTTTTTTGTCAGTCATGGGGCCTGAACTCTGGGCCTGGGCGCTGTCCCTCAGCTCTTCAGCTCAAGGTGAGTGCTCTACCACTTGAGCCATAGCGCCTCTTCTGGCTTTTTCTGCTTATGTGGTGCTGAGGAATTGAACCCAGGGCCTCATGCATGCAAGGCAGACACTCTACCACTGAGCAACCTTCCCGGCCCCCCCCCTCCAATAGCCTTTTTTTTGGGAGGGGGTCCGGTTGTGGGCCTGAACTCTGGGCCTGGGCACTGTCCCTCAGCTCTTCAGCTCAAGGCTAGCACTCTACCACTTGAGCCACAGTGCCACTTCCAGCTTTTTTCTTTTTGCTTATGTGGTGCTGAGGAATTGAACCCAGGGCCTCATGAATGCAAGGCAAGTGCTCTACCACTGAGCCACTTCCCAGCCCCCCTCCAATAGCCTTTTGAGGATCCATTACATTGGCTGACTGACACATGAGCTGTCTAGGCTGGTAGGCCTTGAAGAAAGCATCATAGATCAGCCTGCTTCACAGATGGAATGACTGAGGCAAGAAGCAATTTTTAGGCAGCCTGCTACTTTACACAGAACTAGTATCTAAAGCCAGTCACTGCATCTCAAGCCTAGCCATTTGTCCCACAAAGATTCTGGGGAGGTGGAGACATTTGACTCACTGAGTGACCACCCACTCTAAACCCTCCCACATCTACTGAGAGCTTTGGAATTTACATTCAGGAGCCACCAAGATTAGATCACTTTGTGGTCTGCCTCCAGGAGATACTCAGCTTACAGAAAGGAAAAATGGCTGAGAGCCATGGGGCACACTTGGTCTGTGTCAGTTACAACCCATCGGGGGCCCCTTTCCCTATCTGTCCACCCCACATCCCACATGTCCATCGATGCGTCCTCTCTGTTCTGGCAGGAAATATGAGCAATCTGGACCAACAAGGAACCAGCCACATGGACACTCGCGGTCACTTCCACTCTCATGGCTGGGCTTGCTGGGCCCTCCCTCCATCTTCCATCTCCAGAGCTGCTGTCACCAAGACCTGCTGCACACTGGGGGAGGGACCTGAAAGGCTAATAACAATTTGTGCCCTGTTTTTCCCATTTTCAAAGACCAAAGGGAGTGAATGATACAGGGAGAGGAGCATTCGTGGCAAATGCCTTCGCAGGCTCCCACTCCATTGCTTCTTCCAGAGCTGGCAGCACACTGGCATGAGGGAGGATCCCTGTCTTCTGCACAGCCCCCACAGCGGAGGAGGAAGCCAAGGCTGTAAAGGCAGGACTGCTCATGTCTACCCAAGGTCCCAGCCAAGCCCAGTACAGATGGGCTAAGAGAGAACTGTGTTGAGACAAGCCCAGGCCTGGATTGAGGATCCTGTGGGCTGTACACAGGCTGAGACTCTCAAGTGAATTCGGTATGGCCCTGCATTGGCCTCAGGCTGGTTCCATCCTGCACTGGACAACTGTAACAGCCTTTGCCTGGGCCCCCTTAGCCCTGGGAAAGCCATTGGCTCTGTTCACATTCACCATGCAGAACCAGAGAGCACTGCCCAGGGCCCCAGGCTGCCATGGAGGAATCCTACTGAAGAAAGGGGTAGCAGTGGAGACCACCTAGGCCTCTGCTCTGTGGAACTTCATCCTGGGACCACTGCAGTCACCTCATGTGCACACAAGGTATCTGCCTGACACTATCCATCCTGAGTATTTCAGGAGACTGCAAGTGACCCCGGGTGGTCCATTCCATCCTGGGAACACTCACAGGCTTAGGATGAGGGACTCCCTTCCCCAAAGCACAGCAGGGAACCCTATGACCACCCTACCCTCCCTGCTGAGCCATCGTGAGTCCAGAGGTGAACAGTCACAGTGCTGGATTCACCCTGGCCTGCATGCTGCCTCCCCCGGCCACTGGCTCCCCATAATCAAGTGTCACAAGAGCGGTCTCTGTGGCAGCACATGCTCCTATTCCCATTGCCTTCCTGCAGCCCTGCTGTGAGCCTCTCCCAGCCTCCAGGGACAGGTCAAGCCTGTGCTCCCCAGGACTGTCCTTGTAGGCTGGATTTGAGAGCTCCAGGGGGGTAGACTTGTGGCCTCTCCTGGGTCTCCCAGGGTCCTAGCCACACACTTGCTCCCCTGGGGAGACCCTACTGTGCCAACAGAGGACCTAACACCTGTGTGTGCTGAGCTGTTCTCTGAAACAACCAGCCAGCCAGACACAGCTTCCAGCAGTCTCCCACCAGGATGCTGGGACCCACGTGGCATCCCTTTCAGCAGCTTGAGGACAGGACAGCTCCTGGAGGCAGGCAGTACTGGGAAGCAGTCCTGAGAAATAAGCACCCCTCCACCAGACAGAGGTGGGAAGACAGCAGTCAGGCTGGGGTGAGGGATAGGGGCTTGACTTCAGTGCTCAGTGGTACGCACCTCCTTCCAGGACTGCTGGCTGACCATTTGGGAAGTATGGGATGTCTTCGCTTTCTGTAAGAGTCCACGCTAAGGGCCATTTGCACTAGAAGCCCAGCTTCTGGGTGACTGAGGGCAGGCAGGCCCAGAGGGAAGGAAAGGCACACCCTTGGTCATATACACTCAGGTCCTACAGCCAGCAGCGCCATGTCCTGCCAACAAACTGTGTTCTGCGCACTGCACGGCAAGGCACTCACTCTCATATGTGCACCCCTCACCCACATTCTGTAGCTGCACAGCTCTCAGCTAGCAGTATGACAGACCTGCGAGTCTTGAGAAGCCACAAGCAAGGTACGTGCAGTCCCCACACCCACGACTGCCTCCAACAGCTCATTCCGACACCTGCTGTCAACAGTACTGAATTGCAGGTTCAGCCATGTGCAGTTTGCTCAACGACCAGAAAACCATTCGCTGGCTCCAAGACTCCAGGCTCTCCCCAAAGACACCTGACAGCCAGACAGGGCAGTTCAGTCAGCCCAGGCCAGGGCTGAATGCACTACAGCAGGCTGACTCTCTGGGTCCCACAGTCCCCAGCCAGCACCCCCCACACACTGCGTCCAACCACACAGCCTCATCTCCACCTGAAGGATGGCTTCCAGGTTCTCCTCTGTGATGTCCGTAGGCGGCTCTTACTCCTGGCCCTGCCACCTGCTATGACCTCCACTGGAGGTCTTCTCATTGTTGGCCAGCTCCACAAAAGGAGCCTGGAAGCTCTGCTGAGGATGCAAACAGGACATTACTACCCACATCCTTGGATCATCCTGGACCCCAGGCCTGGTCTGTCTTCTTCCCTAGCCCCAGCAGGCCACCTCTGCCCACAGCTCAGGGTGAGCAGGTGAGGCTTGGGGCACACCTGACCTGGGCACCAGGTGGTAATGCCTGGGAGCTAGTGTGCCCAAGCTCTCATCCACAGTGCTGCAGGGAAGAGACTGAATCACAGGGCTGCTATTTGCACTGATAGAGATGTGGATGCTGGATCCCTGCCCTAAGGCCCATATCTCCATCCCAGGCCTGGCTAAAGGAAGAACCCAGCAGGCTTCAATGGTCATGCCCTCAAGCCAGGACTGCCATGTCCTGGGCTAACTTGGAGCCCAGGGACACAGCCCCAAGCTCAGGTACACACATCCCACATTCCCAGCCTCTGAGGAGGCACAGCTTTTGTGAGCCCTCAGGAACATGTCAGAGGCACAGAAGTCCACCTTCATATTTGGAGGCTGTGGACCCACCACAGGCCCGGATAAGGAGCTGGGCACAGACCCAGCTGCAGCTACTGACAAAGGCTCAGAAGTCTGGAATCATGTAGCAGGGAAGGTACCACTGGGGAGGGGCTTCAGGGAGTTTTCAACTTGCTTTTATTCTTTCCCTGAGTTCTTAAACTCACATTTTTTAATTCAATAAAAGTGTGCACTTTCTCTCCCCTGAACCCCATTTGCTCTCTAGTGGGACAACCTGGCATAGTTTTGTAACTCTTCAAGGCAGTAAGCAGGAAGAACAGCTAGACATCAATCTGGTCCTGTGCACTGGACAAACGTGTAAGGATTCTCTGCCAGCCTCCTAAGTTCATCCCAAGTGTAGAGGCCATGTCTGGGTCTCTGACCTTCCCTTCACTTGGACCCCAACAACCCTAGCTAGGAATTAGCCCTGCCCTGCCAAAGACAGCTCCCTGACATGGGTGCTGGACAGTCAGAGGGGTATAGCTACTAGCCAGCTCATGCACCCCAGGCCCTCAGCTATTACTGGCCCCCAATGTAGGTGGCTGGAAATGGAAGCTGAAAGACAAAACTAGAATTCCACCCAGAACTGGCCTCTGACACACCCCCTCTCCTTTTCCCTCCCCCTCCCCCAGCCTGCTGATGGCTGGGACCTATCCCAGACACCTGCAAGGGGACTGGAGAAACTGTAGCCTGATTGTATTCTGCCTTTTCCTCATTACAGGAGGATTCTGTGTATGCCTAAACAAAGGCCACCTTGCACCCCAGGGCAGCTCATGTTGGCTGTGTGCAAAGTGCTGGCCAATCCTACGCCAGAGGAAGTGTCTACAGGCAACCATGTCTTTTGTGCTGCAATCAAGTCCCACCTGGCCTTCCCATGCCCCTGCACCGAGAACGGTGCATTAACAGTCAGGGCCAAGGAGGCACAGTTAGGAAGACAAAGTCCGCTTCAGCACTCATAGGAGGCCCTTCTGTCAGCAGAGCAGTGAAGGGCAAGACTCTGGAATGCAAGTGGAAAGACGGAGCTTTAGCGGCCTGCCTCCCTCGCCCTCCTTTCTGGCACACTTAGGGGGAACTCAGGGTGCTCTGTGGCTGCAGTGGGAGGCTAGGTGGGAACCCAAGTGCTCCTGGACCCAAGCTGGACCCTGCTTCTCCTGTCCTGGGGAGAAACCACATCAAGGGGCACATGGGGCTATGCAGCTGCAGCCTCCCGCGAATGAGTCCCCACGGCCTGCCTGAGGATCTGATGATGGAATCGCAGAAAGACTGTCACATCAGCCACTCCACACATTCCCCAGGACCCACAGGTGAGGTGGCCACTCTCACCTAGACAGGAACGGTGGAGCTGCCCTCACCACTTCCTTTCCCACGCACCCAGTGAACATGGGGAAGTCACAGAGGCCTTCGCATAAATAAATACGTGGATAGATGAATATAAAAGATCTAAGAAATCTGTTGACAAGCTCTTCTTGTCCAAGTCAGTAATTATCGCCTCCATTCCCTTTCCTGTGGGTGGAGGAAGTGTGCAGGGCCCTGCAGGTGGGGGAGGAGGGCGCTGGCCCTGGGCCAGGCCCCACTCCACAGTGCCTCCTGCATTGCACTCTTCCTGAGCTTTCTGGGCACCTAGAAAGACCTGCCCAGCTGGGGAGGTCAGGGGGAGGCGGGGGCGGGGGGGAAAGTGGGGGAAGGAGGGCAGTGGCATGAGAGGGAGGGTGGCACGGGAAGGGAAGGTCCTGCCTCAGCACAGGCTCCTGTTCTGACCTTGATGACATGTGACCTCTTCCTTCACATGGGAAGAGGTTCTCTCTGACACTCGAGTTCTGTGACTGGCAATCACCACACGCACCATGCTGCCTGACCTTTCTTGTCTGCCAAGCTCCACAGGAACCTGATCTTACACGTACCAGCCTCTCATCTAAGATGTGACCTCCTAGCCATGCGATCAAGCTGAGCCACTTCGGCCACACTGAACTGCCACCATCATGTAAGAGAGACACCGCAATGAGAGGCTGAGATACAGTAGAGAAGGGGGGAGCCCAGTGAGGACAGGAGACCCTGACTGCCAGCCCAGCACTGGCGGTGCTCCGCCCTCTGCAGCAGGCCTACCACAGTCCAACTGAAGCCTGCCAACCTCTCAGTCCTGGCCTGGGACACACCTGGGCCAGCTTCTGAAACAGTCCAGGTGAATGCAATCAGACCACCTGGAAGCCTCTTCTCTACTGTTAGGAGGTCAGGAGAGCTGGAAGAATGGGGGTGCATTCCTACCACCACTATGCTAGGTGAAGATGGGTTACAGGATGCCCTGTGTGACGTCACCATGAGCTAAGCAGAAGGTGCTGGCCACTCATGCTCATTACAAGGGACCAGAGCCATCAGCACCACTGATGAGAAGCTGGGAGGAGAGGACGGAGAGGCTACAAGTGGATGAAGCCAGTCTTCAGGGCAAGGAAACATGAGCTGGGGTCAGCCTCATTTCCACAGCCCCTCCCTCCCTGCAGCACTCAACGACAGAAAGTTTCACAGTGGAGGATCTCCCAGCCCTCTTGTGAGGCTGACAAAGCCCTCCTTTATTCTGCCCACAAAGGCCCAGTTTGGGTCTTGAGCTCTGAAGCCTGGATTGAGGATTTGCTGGCCAGGTGCTGGGGCAGAGCTTGGGCCTGTGATGGCTTTCCAGCAAGAGCCCGACAAAGGCGGCTTTCTCCTCCAGGGCAGAGCCTGGGTCCTGTGTAGTAGGAAGCAGTGTGTCCTACAGTGTGACCACTGGGAAGGAGCTGCACACGTCTGGTTTCCCGTGAGAAGACACAAGGCTGGGGTGGGCATTTGTTTGCATGTAGGGATGATGCTCACCCTCTGCCCAGGGGAAGCAAGGAGACACACAGCTAGGGAGCATCTAGGGCTCTGGGAAATGGGGCACTTTCTCATGCACTCTGATCCCGGAGGAGAGAGTAAAGCCAAGGTGCCAGCCACTCCCTTGCTTGGGAACATCAGTTGGCCATCAATTCCTCCAAGTGACACCCGACTGTTTATTAGTGACGGAAGTTTCTGTCAAAGCTGTTGCAATCCTTCCCCAAGAACCACAGTAAGTAAGAGGGAACAGGAGGCCCAGGAACAAGGCACAACTCTTTTCTGTCTCCCAGACATGAAGCCATGACAAGGGGCTTCCAGCCAGCCTGTGGTGATGAGCACATGTAACCGCCATGGCCTGGGGATAATGAAGCTCTGGCAGGAATCAGTGCCAAGTTAACCAACAGTGGCACAAAACCAGACCATGACCGGCTGCTGTGCTTTGTTCCCAACCCAGCCACTGCTCTGCCTGAGACAGTGAGCAGCATCGGCTGCTGCTCACTAGCTAAGGTGGCCAGGGTTTGAGGCTGACCTCATAGGCAGTGCCTCACCATGGCCAAGTTTTCCAACTCTACCCAGCCTGTGCCGCTCACACCCACTCCCAACTCTCAGCTCGGGGAGAGCAGGGGTTGACAGATGCCCTTCCCTCTATTCTACTGCAAGACTAATCTGGTAGCAAGCCTTTTGCTGAGCAAGTCCAAGTATCAATCACAGCTTCTGAAATTCCTGGAAATAAACTAACCTTTCATAATTTCAGGGGCACCTCTGATGGTCTCCTTCCTGTGACAATACCCCACACCTATGGGTCAGCAAGTAGCTGCTGAGTGTCAGCCTGTGCTGTGCAATAGACATTTCTAGTATATCACCTTAACAATAAAAGTATGTACATATATGTGGGGTTTATATATTAATGCATTACAATGTATCTTGTAAATGTAAGCAATTCCTATTTGTCAACTGAAAGTGAAAACTTTTTTTTTAAGATTAAAAACAAAACAAGAAGGTACTTCCAGACCAGCCATAGCAAGCCATACAGAGGTCTTCCTCAGCCCTGGTCCTGACCCAGTCCCTGGCTTCCAAGGCTCCCCACCTGGCCTGACCTTGACCTCTACAGAATGGAATCTCAGGTGTAGTCAGATTGGTTCCTCCTTTCTTGACTCAGGCACGCTACCCTGGCAGACCCCAACAGCCACAGTTCATTTTTTGGTGGCTGCCATCTCTTGCAGTATCAATTCAGCATGAGGTTTTTCTCCACTCTGTGATAGGCTGGCTGTGTACCCAGGTTTGGGTACCACATGTGCTATGAGTACTCTCACATGTGACCTATGGTGGACACACACATGCTTTTCTTTGGGTAGAAATGCAAGAGCAAAGTAAGAAAATGCTAGGCCTGGGCCTCTTGCATTCCAAATCAGGGGTACCTGTGTACACACTGACCAGCAGTGCCTGAGAACCTGGACATCTTCAGACACTTCTAGTCAGGCTCATGTAGTTAATTTTGGGTATGAGACTGTGTGGTGATGTCTCATCATGGGCACACTTTCCCTTTTTCTAACAGCTAGGGTGATTGAGAACAAGTTCACATACTCAATAGTCACTTGGGAATCCTTTTGGGGAATAGAAATCTTTATGTGTTGTAGATCTAAGTCTTTTTCAGATACATGTTGCCTAGCCATTCTCTCGCTCTGTGGGTTGCCTTTTTGCTCTTAAACTTATGCTGCCCATCTATCTTACTCTCTGAAGTCGGTACTTCCTTGTCTGTGCAAGAAAAGCAGATGCCCAGGTCCTTCCTTTGGTGGGCTCCCGGAGAACCTTCCACATGAGGGCTGTGATCCTCAGGAAATGGTTCTGTGCACAGGTGGGTTCCATTTCATTAAGGATCTCTTTCTTCAGTTCAACTATGCAAGTGGCCTAACATCAAGGCCTGGATAAAGTAAGTGGTCTCCACTGCATCCAGACTCCATACCACACCCTGTGACCCCTCCACACCAATTTCACACCTTGCAGTGTCTGAAGATATGATGTCTCCACTTCTGGTCTTCAGAATCACCGCTGCTATTCTGGGTCTTCTGTATTTCCACACACATGTTAACATTAGCTAGGCATGCAGTGACACCGCAAAGCCTCCACCCTGCCCGACAGGATCTGTGCACCAGCAGTTGAGAACTGAGCACTCTTTAAACTTGGTGTCCCCTCCATTCTTTAGTTCTTCCCTGTTTCTCAGAAAGGATTTGTCATTCTCCATGCAGAGGCCTTAAGCAGCCACTCACCAAGTTCTTACTTATGATGCTACTAAAATAGTGTCACTTTAAGAAAATGGAAAACAAACAGTCTCTGGTTGTGTTGCCCAGGACAGTCTCAACTTCTGAGCTCAAGTGATCACCTCTGTCTGCTTCCCAAGTAGCTAGGACTGCACACACGTCACCACACCTGGCTAGAATGGCAGTACTTCCAAGCAGACACTGTCTTCCTTCCTGTGGGCACCTAGAAGTTCTAACATCCTCACAGACCCACTCGGTGCTAGGGCACAGCTGCCCTGTCCAACACCCATTGCTCCCTGTTGGGTCTTTGCCCTGGGTCTCTTCCCACCTACTGCATTACAAAACCCTGCATAATGGTAATGGAGGAGACAGAACTCCACTTCCACGTTGTCTTTGATCTCAGAAGACTTGCTTTTTCCTCAGCACATGTGCTGTCTGCTGCAGGCTTCTGAAGTCACCTCTGATCAGGTCGGAGCATCCTGTGGAGTTCCACTTTGCTGGATGAGCTATCCTGAGTGGTACTAAATTTTACCATGCTTGTCTCTGAATCTGCTGGGATGACCTGATAGGCTGTTTACTCATTCTGTTAATGACTGGATCATACCAGCCTTGCATTCCTGCAGCAAACCCACTTTGCAACAATGTTATCTTCAGGCATTACTAGCTTTAATTGGTTGGACCTTTGCTCATCTTCATTAAAACTTACATGGGGCTTTGCTGCTTGTCACATTCTCATTAGAAGCTGAAATTCCTGCAATGGGCAAGGAGCTTGGGGGCTACCAGTTCTCCTATCCATTCCAGTATTGTTTCTGTGAGTTATTTACTCCTTCGATATTTGGAGGAATTCACTCAAAGTTATCTAGGCCTGACAGTTACATTACAGCCATACTTTCTTTAGGAACTGTTGAACATTCCAGATTCTCTGCATATCCTGGACAGTTAGTTTCTGTGCACAGGTGGGTTATAAATATAAAAATATAAGTATGTACACAAAAGCAAATTTATGTTACATATTTTTTGTTTATAAATATAAAGGCTAAACTGTCAAGTGTGTGGGCATAAAGCTGTTTGTAATACTTTTACAGAACTTGTTTTGAACTTGTACGATATCCCCTGTAAGGACCCACTTTCTTTCCGGATGCCAGGGGCTGGGGTGTTCTGCTCTGGACTCATCCTGTGACAGTGCAGAATTTCATTAATCCTCTACAGAACCAGGTCTTCTGACTTTGCTCTGTCTGTCCACTGTGGGTGCCATCTCCTCTGCTGGTTTTTCTTCTAGTAGCAAGCCCATGTCTGCACATATGGAAAGGGCCCTTACTACCACCCCCAGCGCTGTCTTCCAAGGTGGTTCTTTCACTTGTGAAATCTTTCTGTTTCTCAAAATCTGTTTTCTTCATTTTACCTTCTGGGAGGGAAGGACAGGCATGGGGCCTCCTCCTATAGGCCTGAGAGGTCACCTTTTGTTTCCAGATTCACAGAGCCCCTCAGTTTCCATGTAAAATTCTTATAAATGAGCTGGCTTTGTTTTCCAGCTGGTGAGATGCATGCTACAGAGTGGACACCCTTTGAGGGAGCTGCCTGGCTCTGGCTACCTGGAGAGCCCAGAGTTCTCACACTCTTCTTCCCAGCCAAGAAGGACACAGCACTGTGCTATAAAAGAACGTGCCTGACCTCCAAATCACTCTCTAGCATTCTCTCATCTTACAAGTACTCTGCTACCACCAGAGGCAAATAGATGGGACTGTGTGACCTTGAACTTTCAGCCTCTGAAACAACGAGCTCAGTAAACATTTTTCTTTATAAAGACTCAAGACTCTAGCATTTTGTTATAGCTACCGAATGCAGACTAAGATTGCCTGGATATCAATGAGTCCTTCTCAGCACCCAAAACTCTCAGGGTCATTATTTTGGACCTTTACCCATATTAAGCACTGGGCCAAATCCTAAAGGGCTAACACCAGTTTTTAAAGTTGTTCCTCACCCTTAGACCCCTGCCTGCACCATTCCTGCTCTTCCTCACAGCATAGATGGCAGTAGACTCCACTGTTCTAACACCTTGACCACATTCGGCACCCACCTGCTGGCTGCCCCTCCGAGCCATGGGAAGCAGAGCTCTGGACTTTTCTGCAATTTTATGTTGGGAAAATAAGAACAAAAATGGTGGGGAAGAGAAAAGAGGTGGTCAGAAAAACAGCAGGCCCCAGTGACCCAGCACATACTGCTGCCCATTCCCTGAGATAGCAGGCTGTCCTGGGCCTGAGAAAACTCACCCTAAGCCAGCCTCTGCAGGAACTTCATGGACACATGTGTGCTTGCTGGGCCTCAGTTTCCCCAGCTGTCAAAATGGGGTGAGACTTGTTCTTCCTCTCAAGAGGTAAAACCCTACAACACTCACTCATCATCCTGAGGACATGCTACCAGATACTGGCCATCTAAGCAATGTCTCCAAGGAGGGCCTTTTACCTACTCTGGGAATGGCTAGACCAGGACAACACAGGGTGAGGTAGCAAGAGTGGATGCTGAGGGATCAAGTCCCTCCCTCAGAGGCTACCCAGGTACCTCACTTTTGTACCATTCCATAGTGCTGGATGGCTTCTAAGAACTGAGTTTTCAGTCAGTCCAGCTTCAGGTGCTCCTGCTACAAAGAGAGGGCAGCTTACAGGGACTGGGCCTGGTCTCCTAAAGTTCCTTATACTGTAGGGACCTGCCCTGAGCCTTGTCTCCTAGAGCTCCTTGTCCTGTAGGGACTAGCCCTTGGTCTCAACTCTCAGAACTCCATGTCCTATAGGGACCAGCTCTGGGCCTCATCTCTCACAACTTCTTGTCCTGTAAGGACCAGCCCTGGGGCCTCACCTCTTAGAGTCTGCAACCTCTAAGGACCACCTTGTGAATTCCATGCCCAGAGCTCATCATATCCCTCCACACCAGAAGAGCCACACCCCTATCTTCTCCAGGCATTTTCATGCTCTCCATCCTGAGCACTGGGCTCACTGCCATCCATGGCCTCCCACCATTCCTAGAGACAGGCTCTCTGTCATGTGCTACTGTCCTTGTGCCTATTGGCTACCTCCTTTACAGTGGTCCTGAGGAGCTGCTTCAGCACTGGCCATTGGTCCATGCATGAGCCCAGGACAGAGTGAGGACCCCAGCCCATCACACTGTGTGCAAGGGTGGAGACCTGAATGGCTGTTGAACCGTGGAAGCTGGGCCACTGGGCCATTGCCTCACCACCACCTGTATTGATGACCAACTCAGACCAGGCTCACTAGGGAAGAGAAAGGGGTCTGACCATGGTGCCTGGGTTCAGCCTCCAGAGTGCCGAGGAGAGGGAGCTCTACACTGGCCACGTGATGAAGTGGTGAGTACTGAGCAGAAGCTCAGCCAGGGAAGACTGCACAGTATACTGCATATACCATGCCATTCACATAGGGACATATAAAATCTGAGGATTTCAGTATCCAGACATAGTTCCCTGTGGACACTAAGGGACAACTGTTGAGTGTCCCCCTGCTCTGGGGCTCAGGCTCCACGCTATGGTCCTGACAGCAAACATCGAGACAAGGGATGATGCAGAAAGACCAGAGCTCACATCCAGCCATCTTAGCTGCACACTGGGATAGGACCGTCTTCCCTGCAGAGGGAGGGAGAAGCCAGTCTGTACCGTCAGTGAGGAGGACAGTGGCAGCCTCAGCATGGGACTTCCCGGGACCTGGAGTGTGAGAGCATCACAGCATTGGCCTGTTGCTTATCTGACCACAAATGTGGGATGCCCCATGAACCTGAGGATTCAGTAGGTGCTGGTTAAGTGTGGACTCAGGCCAAATGTCCTTGGCCTCACCAGGAAGCAGTTGGCTCAGACTCACAATGTAGTGCCTTTTGGGACCTAGCACATACATTACGTAAGAGGCACCCAGGTAGGATTTTTACAAAGGAATAGATGAACCAGCAGAGGAAGGCATTCAAAGGCACAGGATACAGAACAGTGCTACACTGGAAAGGCCAGGCATGGAAGGCAACGTGACAAGCCACAGGAAATGTTGGTCGTCACACTTCTGGTTTCCCCTCTGAGGATGATGTCCTGCCAGACTCAGAACCAGAGGAGCACTGGTCTCTCCTGGGAAGATTGTGGGTTTGACTGTAAGATCACACACAGAACGAAGGCTATATGCTCTGACTCTGTTCATCCTATCATTGGGTAACAGGCCACTGCCAGTTGTCTTTTTTTTTGTCGATTGTGGGGCTTGAACTCTGGGCCCAGGCACTGTCCCTCAGCTCTTCAGCTCAAGGCTAGTGCTCTACCACTTGAGCCACAACGCCATTTCTGGGTTTCTGGCGGCTAATTGGAGATAAGAGTTTCATGGACTTTCCTGCCCAGACTGGCTTTGAACCTCAGATTGCAGCCTCCTGAGTAACTAGGATTACAGGTGTGAGCCACTGGCACCCGGCATTGTCTTTTTAGTATAACAAAACTTTGGGGACTAAGCTATTTGTTTTTAGGAAAAGCTTTACAAAGGTTTAATTCAGACACCACAAAATGTACCCATTTTATGTGTCAGTTCAGTACTGTGTAGCTGCACAATCATCCCCAGAGCCCAGTCACCCCAAGACCCACCAGTCCACATCTGTCTGCACAGAGCTGTACACCTCCCTAATGCTGCATACCTCCCTAATGCAGCACATCTCCATAACGCTGTACACCTAACAGTGCACACCTCCCTAACACTACACACCTCCTTAACGCTGCACAGCTAATGCTGTGCACCTCCCTAACACTGCACACATAATGCTATACACCTCCCTAACACTGAACACATAATGCTATACACCTCCCTAATACTGTGCACCTCCCTAACGCTGCACACCTAATGCTGTGCACCTCCCTAATACTGCGCATGTAATGCTGTATACCTTCCTAACGCTGTGCACCTCCCTAACACTGCACACCTCCTTAATGCTGTACACTGTGTGCAGCACACCTGGCTTCTTCCGTTTGCCTGCCATGTGAGCCATACCCACTCTGGCTCCAGAGCCCCTCCCTTTCACTGCGCCAATGGAGTCTCCTGGCAGAGATGAGAACCACACATGGCTCTGACACCACAGGGTAGCAGACTCTGCTGTCAAAGGCCAGCTGTGTGCTATCTTAGGCTCTGCAGGCAGTCTGCCACAACAACCAAGTCCACTGTGGCAGGAAAGCAGCCATGGACAGAGCACAGGATTAGTGAGGCTGGGCTTCTGCTCTACAGTGTAGGGCTAGTAGCAGTGCTTCCTTTGTGATGAGCTCCCTGCAATCTCCAGGGCATGAATAACAACGAGTGTGCTGGCCCAGTGTGGGGGGTACAGCTGGGCAGCATGGCTGGGATAGTGATATGGGAGTGCACATGGATGGCAAGAAGCAGGACAATGACATGCAACATGGAAGGTGCACCTGACAGTAAACCAAGAATATGGGAAAAAGTAGATGGGCAGAGGCAGGAGGAAGGGCAGAAGGGGAACACATGGGTAGCAGAGGGCCAAGAGCAGTGCAGCTGATGTTAAGTCATCATCTTCATTCAGAGGACCAGAGCACCCTTATCTCCATTATAAGGTAGTCTCCAGAAGAGCTGCCCAAGCACTGGGGTCCTGGAAATGTAGCCACATCTGCACAAATTCATCTCCCACACCCCACCCTGCCACAGGTCCCCAAGGAAACATACCGGGCTAGGGACCTGTAGGAGCTCCGATAGCTGCTTCTTGGCACTGGCACTGGCCATAATGGTTTTGTTAGTCTTCTGCTGCACTGAGTGCCTGGTCAAAAAAAGAGTCAAAGACAGAGAAAGGACAGGTAGAGAGTAAGGTAAGGGGACAGAAAAGTAGGAACAAGCAGAACCAGGCTAGAATAGACTCGGGCAGACAGCATGCAGAAACATGAAGATGAAGGAAGCAGGAGAGTTGAGAAGGAGTCATACACGCAGGAGCACAGGGAAGTGAAGAGCAATACAGGGAGGTGAGGTTAGCAAAGACCCCAACCAAAAAAGTCAGGGGAGGTGAGAAGGAAAGGAGGGAGGCCAGGACAGGGGCAAGGAGGGAGAGACAAAGGAAACAAGAGTAGAATGGGGCAGAAAGGCAGAGCGGGCACAGGGCAAGAAGACAGGGAGAGAAATGACAAGATGAGCTATAAGTGTTGGGAGAAGGCTAATGGCAGGACCAGCCCCGGAGAGCTACCAATCCACTGCCAGGATAACCCCTGCCTCCCCACAGATGTACACAGCTTAGCTCCCCTGGCCACACTGGGGCAGGACCTGCATTGCTAAGGGACCCAACCATAAACCCACCTTGTAGAGGCCCTCAAGGCTGAGCAGAGTGGGGGGCCTCTGCTGGTCATCAGGTCAGCCCATTCCCACTCCAACCCTGCAATGCAAGCAATGGGCCAGGTCCCTCCAATGCCACACACAGCTGCAATTCAAAGACAGCTCCCAAAGATGACTGAAAAGACCAGCCATTTGCTACTTGGGGCAGATGCCCTTAGCCCACTCTGCAGGATGATAACTGGGGCAACCCTTCCTTCAGCCCAGTTCACAGCACACATAACCCAAGGGAAGGAAGGGCACTGGCCTGAAAGCAAGGAGCCCTCCTGACTGAAACGTGACTCAAATGCCTTCCTCGCGCAGGGAGTCAGCACTCTAGTCCCCACAGGTCTCTACAGCAACCGCCAAGGTGAGCACCATACACAGGCTATAAACAAGTATGCAAAACACAGCAGACTCCTGAACTGTAGCAACAACTGAGGAAGGAAATTTAAACACTTATGCCCTTTGCAAAGTATAAAATCCAGAAAATCACTAAGACAAATTGGACAGAATGAGTAAAAATGTAACCAGATGTGTACACTGAACACTATCAGGCTGAAAGAAATAAAAAACAAAAGGTAGGATGACTGTATTTATGGGTCAGACATTCATTATTAAGATGTCTTGCTTTGAGAGTATTGTTCTTTGGGCTTGGGTTTGTTTATTGTGGTACAGGAAATACTCAGAACCTCCCATGAGCCATGCCCCCACCCTTTCACTTTGAATCTATTCTTCAGATTAAGTCTTTGCACTCAGAAGAAGCCTCAGAACCATTTTTCTTCCATTCTGCCCAAGTGCAGAATCCACGAGGATGCACCACCACATGCGGCCTACAAGATATCAATTTTTTTTTGCCAATCCTGTGCCTTGAACTTTGGGCCTGGGGACTGTCCCTAGGCATCTCTTGCTCCTACAACTTGGGCTATTTAGTACCACTTCCAGCTTTTTCTGTGATTAATTGGAGGTAAGAGTCTCACAGACTTTCCCAGCTGGGTAAGCTTCTAATTGTGATCTCAGATCTCAGCCTCTTAATTAGGTAGGATTACAGGCCACCCACACCCAACTGAGATGTGGATTCTTAAAACAGTCTATAGATTCCACACCACTGTAGTCAGAATTCTAACAGGTTTTTTAAAATTAGAAATCATCAAGCTGATTCTTGAGACTTATATTGAAACACAAAGGGTCTGGTATCCAAAATAATTTTTAAAAGAACAGGCTGAATGAATGCTCCCACTCCCAGCTTCAAGATACACAGCAAGGCCTCAGCAAGGGACAGCTCAGCACAGACCCATGGAGACCAGCAGGATGGGATAAGCCAGCCTGCAACATAGCAGTGCTTGAGTAACTTCTCAAAAACCTACCAATATCCTCAACAAAGGCTGCTGGAACATCTGGATACACAGGTTTTATAAAGAGGGGGGAGGGGAGGTAGGGAAGGGAGAGAGAGATGTACCTCAACCCTTTCCTCGTAGCATGTTCAAGAAATAAATCCCAAGTGTAATAGTCCTCAATATGAGGGCTAAAACAAAGAAAAGTAAAAGTACAACAAGCATGTTCGTGTATACCACCATGAAGTCCCCGGGGTGGGCTACCTTACAAGGAAAGGGACTTAGCTAGCTCATGACATGGGCAGCAAGCACAGTCTTCCTGGCACAGGATCTCATGGCAGGAATACAAATGTATCTTGGTCTATGTGCTCTATCTCTTCACAATTCTAATCTAAGCACCTCCCAAAGGCCTCCTAAGCACCACCTAATCTTAATCCCATTAATGTGAGACTGAGGGGGGATATATTAAATTCCCCCATGAGTTCCCGGGAGAGTAATAAATAAAAATGAATAAAAACAAACAACTAATATTAAAAACTTCAGCTCTTTAAAAGTTGTCAGAAATGAAACAGCAGCCACCACACAAGAGAAATGCTCTCCCTCAGGTATGTCATAGAGAAAGGACTTGCCTGAAAACATAGAAAGACTTTATAATACCATATTCCAACAAATAGGAGGTATGGATCTGATCAGCCTTGACAAAGGAAGAGACCTACATGGCCAGTGTGCACATCGAAGATGCCTGCAGCATTAATCATTACAGCAACGTGCACTGAAAGTAAGATCCCAGGGCACTCACTGCTCACCTGCCAAGATAGCACACATAGGTGACAACGTCCAGTACTGAAAAGGACCACAAGCTAGCAACACAGTCCCATCCTTGGCAGGAATGTAAATGGCACAGTCACTTTGCAAAGCCAATTGGCAGCTTCACCTGGAGTTAAGCTCACATTCATTATTCAACTCCATAATTCTACATCCAGAGATTTACCAGGGAAGGGAAACACACCTAGTTTTCCCCACAGCTCCCACCAACCCTCTGTCTTTTGAGAGGTACTGGGTGGACAGAATGCCATATGCATACAATAGAGTACTACTCACTAATACAATGGAATAACTCACATCACTCATCAATATGGATGAATTCACAAATATACCAAATAGAAAACAAGATCATACCTAAGAGGCTTTGTCCTCTGTTAATGTATTCGTATGACATTGAGAACAGCCCCTACGTAGTGGATGAGGGGGTCTTGGTGTGGGAAGGGGCCCAGAGCTAGCTTCTGAAGCAAGGGGAAGGTATACACTGTGTGCTTGCTGGGTGTGGCTACAGGGTACACACAGGTGTCAAACTTACTGAAGGTGTACATACCTCAGCACTCATAGGTCTGCTTTGGTGAGGCTGATTAAAAACTGTACACACACACACACACACCCGCATAGGGAAAATCAAGCCTGTAGAGCCCCACTGCCACTATCCTGAGACGGGTCAAGACAGGCAGGGCCCATAACACACACATGCACACACACGCACGCACGTACGCACACACACACACAGCATAGGGAAGACCAAGCCTGCAGAGCCCCACTGCCACTATCCTGAGACGGGTCAAGACAGGCAGGGCCCATAACACACACACGCACACGCACACACGCACACACACACACACACACAGCATAGGGAAGACCAAGCCTGCAGAGTCCCACTGCCACTATCCTCAGACGGGTCAAGACAGGCAGGGCCCATATCCTGAGGAAGGGGCGACACAAGCCCTTGAAGAACTTTGCCTGGGTCACAGCCCTACATGGGGAGATCTGAACTAGTGGCTTACAGACACCTTCCTCAAAGCCAAGGCTATCTGGTCCTGGAGCTAGAGCCACAGCCAGAGCCCCTGCTGCCACCTCTCAGCTCATACTGTACTCTGAATACTACAAACTGCTGAGATAGTCTTTTCAGATGGAGAAACTGAGCACTAGAGAGGGAGGAGCTGCCCACTAGAGGCAACAAGGCCACCAGCACTGGTGCCCAAAGCGCACACGTGCAGCAGCTACTGTGCCTCCATTATGGAAGGGAGCAGCTGGGCTTGACCAACCTGCCCAGGAGTCTGCTGGTCAGTGGAGAAAGCTGTGACCAAGAGGCCAACATATAATTTTCCTACCTGAGGGGCATGACCATGAAGCAAGCAAACAGCAGATGACCAGAGGATCCTACAGTCCCTGCCATGGCCAACCTTGAACTCATCTCTATGAGGCGATGACAACATGGCTAGGAGAATTTGGGCAAGCACCTACTTGCCCAACATCCCCAGGGCCCAGTAGAAAACCTCATACCAGAGGTATGGGCACCAAGGCTGGGCACCTTGGAGGAAAAACATGATGCAAGATTCTCCTGGTTTCACAAGCAGCTGGGCAGAATGACAGGACCCAGGTTTCCTCTCTGGTCACAAACAGCTAATCCTAGACACAATCAGAGGTGATGGAGTCGTGGCAAGCAGAGGCACTACACTGGGAGTTCCACAGCAGCCCCAGACTATAGGTTGGGGAGCATTTGGATTGTGGGACGAGAAGCTATGGGGACTGGACTCTGTCCCCTCCTCCATACCCACTCTCTCAAGCTAAATTCATAACCTAATGTGGTGGATTTGGAGCTGGGCCTTTGGCAGGTGACTAGGCTGGGTGACCATGAGATCGGGTAGCCTCAGGTCAGCTTGACATCCTTACAAGACACATAGAGAGCCACTTACCTGGACTACCCCAGCTTCTGTTCTCACACACACACTCGCCCTCTCAGATGAAGAAAGAGGGAGAAGGCACCGTCCACAGCTAGGAAGCAGCCTTCAGCAGACCAGGACTCCAACCTCTAGACCTGTGTGGCAAACCCATTGTTTAAGACCTAGTGTGGTGTGGGGATGATCTTTAATGGCAGCTTGAGCCCACCAAGAAGGAGCAAAGCATGGTGGCCTTGCTGAGTGGAGGAGGCAGAGGCCAGAGCTCAAAGGCCGGAGTTACCACGACCTGACAGGCAGAGGCCCAGAGAAGTAAAGAGATGAACCTCAAACCTGCACAGGTGCTGAGGCCTGCAGAGCATGCAGCTGTGTGCACATGTGCAATGAAGCTGCATGGGGCCAATGAAGGCCAAAAGGTCATACAACTGACCAACAGCTGTGGCCACAGAGAAGGGAGAGGTATGTGAACATCTTCCAGCCAGAGATCAGCTGTGCTCAAAAACCAGCGTGTGATGTGGAGACCCAGAGGGATTAAGCCATAGCCACAGGCCATGCTGGCAGTTAAGCTGGCAAAGAGCCTGCCCTCAGAAGCTGAAAGAACCGGGCTGACCCACAGACACCTCCGGAACAAAACCTAGACACAACTCCTTGAAGGAAGACAGCCAAACCCAGTCAATCAACACTATTCCACAATGTCCATCAGCCAAAGTTAATAGTGTAGTCAATAAGATGAAAACTGGTCAACAGAGACTGGTCCATAACTGACCATAAAGATGATGGATTTGCAAAGATTTCACAATAACTATCCTAAATACAGCTAATATGCTTAAGTATTAATGTGAGCCATGAAAAATGGATGAGGTATAAAACAACCAAATGTAACTTAGAGAGATGAAAAATAAAACAAATTTATATAACTTTCCCTGGAGTGAAAGAGGGTGTGAGGTTGATTGGAATACATTATAGACATGTCCAGTGGATAAAAATGTAAAAATGTCACAATTAACACTCCCACTTGTACAACAAATATATGCTAATAAAAATAATAACTTTCCCTACAAGGGCTTATCAGGAGACTAGACAATGCAAGAGAAAAGATCAGTGAACCTGAAAATATGACAAAAAGTACTCCAACAGACAGAGAGAAGAGGAGAGGAAATGATATCCAGCTAATTGCAGTGTAATTAGCAAAGGGGAAAGTGTATATTTGAAGTAATAATAGCCAAAGTTTCCCCAAATTTGGCACAAAGTATAAACTCATAGGACCAAGAGATTCGGCAAAAAACAAAGTAGGATAAACACAAAGGAAATCATATGAGTACATTAAAACTGCTGAAAATCAGTGACTAAAGAGAAACTAAATCAGGGGCTGGGAAGGTGGCTCAGTGGTAGAGCGCTTGCCTTGCATGCCTGAGGCCCTGGGTTCGATTCCTCAGCACCACATAAGCAAAAAGAAAAAAGCCGGAAGTGGTGCTGTGGCTCAAGTGGTAGAGTGCTAGCCTTGAGCTAAAGAGCTGAGGGACAGCGCCCAGGCCCAGAGTTCAGGCCCCACGACTGGACCCAAAAAATAAAAATTAAAAAAAAAAAGAGAAACTAAATCAATCAAGTTAGAAAATGGGAAACAAAAAGTGATGCCCCAACACTATAGGACAGTAGCAAATGGTCTAGGATATTCCCAGCCCCGGCAGGGAGAGAGGAAAGAGAAGAGAGCAAAGAAAGAGAAGGAAGAAAGAGGAAGGAAATCTGAGGAGAAACGAATGGCTTCGAACCACAAGCTCACAAATCTCAAAGAGATCTCAAGAATTTCCCACAAATAAAGAGCATACATATACTACGTATACCATGTTAAAATGGTTCAAAATCAAAGATTTTAAAAAATGTTGATAACAAGGGAAGATGATCCAGACTAGTCACAGCTAATATCCCTAGCTTTCTCTGATCAGAGATTTGGATCCTAGCACACACTTACCTCAACAGAATGACAACAAGGAAAATATAAACAGATAGAGAATCACAAGAATGATGAAGCATTTATACTCATGCACACAAGGACAGAAAACTGCAAAGTGCTCTCCCCCCACCCACAGCATGGTTAAGCTGCGACCTTGGTCATACTGTGATTCTGACCAGCACAGACAGCAACACACCTGAAGGTCCAGAGTTACAGAAGAGGAGCAGGAGACCACCACATCCAGATGCTGAAAACTTTCACTACAATGCTGCTGATCTGCTCAGAACCAACTCCAGGAACCATGAGTACCCTGTCAGGGACCCCTCCCAAAAGACCAGCCCTGGTGGTAACCCAGAGTGCTTGGCCAGGACCCCCTAACCCTCACCTGAGAAGGGGCGCCATACTGGAAGAGGGTAAAGAAGCTGGAGCCCTTTCTCCCACCCCTTCTGCAACTACCCGCAAAAGATCACCAGGACACAACCCCGTTCCTGAGCCAGAGAACCACAAGGTCTAGCAGACACTAGGCCCAAATCTGGGTCCAGATACTAGAACACTAACTGATCAAAAGTAAGATGGGAGATCCTCCCAACACCACACTGTAGGAACCAGCACTGCCCTCATCCCAAACCAGATCTGGACACTTAGAATGCTGCTTCCCACCTGGTCAGAACACCGGTCAAGATGATCTCCCCACTCCAACCTGTGGGAACAGGTCTCCACGAGGTCTAAACTCTCAGGGTCTGGACCATAGAACACTGCACCCCACCCTGTGGAAGCAACAGACTGGCCAGAACTCAGGCCAAGGGGCCTTCTCAAGGAATCCACCTTCTCCAGGATGGATTTGGGCTAGGACTCCTAGACCATCATGCCCTATATTGTGGGAACCTGCCACCAGACCTAAACCCAGGCAGGCGGGATGCCAGACCACCCTGCCTCACCATGTGGAAACACATCTCTAACATCTGACCAGGACCTAACTGTTCGCGCCACCCTGGGCAGAAAGCTGCTAAACATAGTCTGACAGAGATCCATCCAGTAAACTATGCCCCATCAACATTGAAGTTAATACATAATCTGAACAAGCCCTACAGTCCCTAAACCCAAAGGCATAAATCATACTGAAAGATCACAAAATCATGAGCAATCAAGATAACATGCCAATATCAAAAGCCAACAACAATCCAAGGAAGGACTAGCGAGAATGAAGAAGAGATGGAGAGCAAAAGAACTATTAAAGCCATTGGCTGATGAAATGAAGGGCAGATCCAAAAACAAATAGAAGAATATAACAAGGAAATGACTAAGAATATACAGGAAGTCCAAGAAGGCATGGAGAGGAACATAGAAACACTACACACATCATTAAAAGATAAAATTAACACCCTGAGAACTGACATCAACAAACAGCTTGGAACCATGAAAGGCTCTATCTCCCTATTGCAAAGCATAGTTGAAAGCATAGGCACTAGAATAAATGAAGTAGAAAATAGGGTATCAGAAATTGAGGATAAAAACAGAGGAACTAGAACAGAAAGTCAAAGGCATAGAGAAAGCACTCAGAACATACCAAATGCAAGCTCAAGAACTAGCAGATTCATGGCTGGGAAGGTGGCTCAGTGGTAGAGTGCTTGCCTTGCATGCATGAGGCCCTGGGTTCGGTTCCTCAGCACCACATAAGCAAAAAGCTGAAAGTGGTGCTGTGGCTCAAGTGGTAGAGTGCTAGCCTTGAGTAGAAGAGCTGAGGGACAGCGCCCAGGCCCAGAGTTCAGGCCCTACGATTGGATCAAGAAAAAAAAAAAATGGCAGATTCAGCCAAAAGATCAAATCTATACATAGTCAGGATAGACTAGGGAGAATTCAAAACCAAAGGCATTAAAAACCTATTTAACAATGGTTAGTATTTACGCATCAAACAATGATATTTGGTTGATCTGTCCCTAGCTAAGAATGGAGTGTTAAAGACTCACACTATTATTGTATTGAGGTCTATCATGTTCTGTAAGTCCAAGAGTACTTATTGGCAGGCATCCAAAGATGTACCTGGGTTTCAGGAAGGGGTGAGAAGGGTGCACTTGTGTCATAGAGAGGTAAGCCATGGGGCTGAGCACTCAATCTCAGGTTCCAAGCTTAGGCCAGGTGCATGTGTGCATGTGTAAATACACCAGATGTGTGGGTGCGTACATGGCAACCAACACAGGTGCAGAGACACAGTGCCCACACACTCACAGGCTGTCCCGGAGCTCCTGTGTGTCATTCGGTGTTCCCAGAGACTGTAAGCTCTCTTCCAAGGAGGTCACTGCCAGAGAAGAGAGGAAACAGGCAGCAGCAGGATCATCTGCCACTGTCAGACCCTCATGTTTGGTCATGGTGGCAGAGGCAGGACATGGAGGCCGAGAACTATGGCCAGCACAATGCAAACCACCTACATGACCTGGACATGATGTTTCCCACCCCTCCCAACAAATGTCGGCCCAGGCAAGACCTTCTACTCTGCAATCCTAGGACAGGCCCAGGCCCAAATAGACCACAAAGAGCCACCTCTAATGGGCCTCACCCATCCCTAGGTCATGTCCCCTTCCCCAGCTTCAAGGACCTGCTCTGCCAGCAGCAGGACATGCTCCTCCTCTGCAGGACCTTGTCCAGGCACACGTGCCAGAGAAGCCTGAAGGCCCAGCTGTGAACAGGCTGCTGCAGGGGAGCAGGGTGATCACAGAACAGCATTCAGGATTAGCTCACTCTGCCCAAGAATGTGCCTCCCACACTAGAAGATAGCACGGCCTACGAACGTAGGACTGGACTATAAGACAGCATGAGCAGAGCAAGACCAGCACTAGCATGGTTCTCAGTATCATCTCAGTGGACAAGTCCTGCAAGGGGTAAAGAAGAGCAGGCCCAGGTCAAAGCTCATCATCCGAGTTGATTCGAAAGATGCTGGCCTGACATAGCTCCTAGACAGGATGGGGATCACCTGGAGCAGCTAAAGGAAGGCAGAACAAGGGTGGACACATGCTGGTAGATGCTGCCAGGCAGACCAGGATCATCAACCACTCAGGCTATTCCCAGCAGCAGGGCTCCAGGAGCATTTTACCCCATACCTCACCCCTTGCCTTCCAGCTCAGGCTCCTTGGATTCAGGCACTGTGTCAGGGACAGAGGAGGAGGGTAGCTCTTCACATCATGCCCTGCCATCCCACTCCTGGGGACAGAAGCACTGAGGACTTGCACTCACACAGAACCTACAGGGCACTCAACGGGGCTCTGTTCCTGAGGGAGAAGATGTATACCACCACACACCTGGCAACCAGTGAGCAGTGTGAAATACAGAGCTGGGCCCCCGGTAGAACACCAGTCAGCAGGAAGAGGAAGAAGTGCCTTCATATGCCGTAATGCAGAGGAGCCCAAATGCACGCCACTCCGTGACAAACCAGGACTTGTCATTTACAAGACACTCAGACTTAAGTCCACAAAGACAGCAAGACAGGGCCTCCTGTCTTTGGGTGGGACCCAGTCATTGCACAGAGCTAGAAGGTAGTGCTGGCTGTACAATCAGCAAAACACACTGATGACTAGCATGCTTCAGTCAAGATAGCTAAGCTGGTAGCTTTCACATTAGTCAAGTTGTATCACAGTTTACTAATGCCACAGAGAACGCTGTGGTGACTCTCCAACCTTGACGAGGACACACTGATCAGGACACTCACATTGCTGGGGAGGAGCAGATGTGACGAGGCCATGGCACACCATCCCACACCCCAGCCAGCATCTGAGTGCATGCACAGAGAAGCAAAATGGTCCACAAGAAACTTGTGCAAGATCACTTAGAATCAACAGCTTTGTTCCTAAGATCAAAACCTGCAATGCCTGCAGTAGTAGGGATGCAGGAACATGGACAGACACACGTGCTGGCAGCCGGGGCACACGAGAGGGTGAAGAGGCATGCACACCCCCCACACAGCAGAGCTCCTCTGGCAACTTGGCCAACCTCAGACTTATGCCACCAGACACTACAGCTCACAACCCCAGGGCTTCCAACTGTCACTAGCGATCTGTGATGCCTCTGAGCTGGGTTGGATAGGGCAGGCTGGACTCAGAGCCAGTGCCATGCTTGTGCCTGGACAGGGCTGGGTGACACAGATGCAAACATTTGTCAAAATGCCCAGAGCAAGATCTGGGCAGCTCACTGTAAATGTGACCTCAGAAGGGAAAGGAAAGTCAGGGAGCAGTGTGTGAAGGAAACATGCAGGGGATTCAACAGATGGTGAGGCCCAGCCGGAGGCAGCCAGGTGTGGGATGCGAAAAGGCAGTGAAAGGGCAGGACAGAATCCAGGCGTGCGTGCATGGCTAGTCACCAGGCAATGCATTCAGCTTTTTCTGTTTATAATTTTCCATAATAAAACATGCAAATAAAAGAACATGGTATGAAATCCTGAGGGGCCTTGGCAGGAGATACACTAGGGTGCTGGCTGGTCCCTCTGAATGCTCATGCTCTCTGAACTGGCCTGGGGTAGCCAATAGTAGAGCAAAGTGCCACTGCTTCAATTTGGAATCTGGTTCTTGCCAAGCAACGGGCCTCAAACCAGCTCCACTTGGTGTCACAGGGCTGTCTGGACAAGGCTAGAGCTGATCCCAACCTTGTCTGGGAGCAGACAAACCTTTCCCACTGATACTGGGGCTTCTGAGCTCATGAATTCACAGGTACCCTGTGTCACTATCCTAGGAGCAGACTACACATTTCCTGGGACACTTGTGATATGGCCATGGGGCTTTACCCTTACCCTCACTCTGCCCCAAACCAATGCCAATGAGCCCATCTTCCAAGGCTGATCTGTCTTCTAGTGGTCAAGACTGAAGCTTCACACCTACAGCCAATCTCCAAGGAGACAAGAGGAGCAGGACCTTCTGTGGAAGGACAAAGGGCCTTTCACGTGTTAGTTCCAATGGGCCAGTCCTCACAATCAAGGCCTGGGCCAGACTGGGTCTCTCTGCTCCCTGCACTGATGGCATACCCCTATCCCCAAGGCCACCTGCCCACTTCCCCCTCACAAATGCTGCTCCTATCTCCCCTCCAGAAACCCACTGGTAGGGCTGGGAAGATGGCTCAGTGGTAGAGCGCTTGCCTTGCATGCTTGAGGCCCTGGGTTCAATTCCTCAGCACCACATAAGCAAAAACAAAAAAGCCGGAAGTGGCGCTGTGGCTCAAGTGGTAGAGCGCTAGTCTTGAGCTGAAAAGCTGAGGGACAGCGCTCAGGCCCAGAGTTCAGGCCCCACGACTGGACCCCCCCCCCAAAAAAAAAACAAAAAACAAACAGAAACCCACTGGTGACTGCCCGCCCACCCCCACCCCTACTCCTTGTCCTGGGCTAGGAGGCTGTGGAGCAAGACACTATTACTTCAACAATACCCTTGAAGAACAAGGAACCACAGCTGGAGGGAACCAGGGTCCCAGAATGGCTCTATGGAGCAGAGCTGGCCATGAGGCCTAGGTTTGGCTACAGCCCAGGAAATGAGTATTCTGTCTTTCTGTGGGTCTCTACAAACAGTGTAAGCATGCTGGCACCTGCTAGCACCAGAAACACAGTGCCCTGATCACCACCAGCTCACTTAGCACCAGTAGTCACCCACTGACATGGCAAGGTGAACAGCAACACAGGTACCTCACAGGTCCTATCTGAGCCTCAGAGGTCAGGACTGAGGGCCGAAGTGGGAAGGCATCTAGCTTGAGGTCAGGGGGAAGTTGAGGTTGTTCACTATGTCAGGGGATGAAGAAAGAAGAGAGCCATGGAGGGAGGGAGTCACCTCAGGTCAGCAGCTGCGGCTGCCATAAGGAGCCATAGGGTCCAGAATTACCCTCCTAAATCAACTAAAACTGGATGAAGTGCTGGAAGCTACTTTGAATGGTCATCATTCAGTGAGGTATTATAATTCTAAGAAAATGAGAGGCAAATGAGCTACACCCTAAAATGACTCCTTTGCTCGACAAGAACAGAAGAGGACTAAGCCCAGCTGCATCCTGAGGTTAGGAGGCTGACCACGCCTGGAGTGTGGCACAGCACCACCTACAAGTGATGGCAGCTACCAAGGATGAGAAGTGAGGCAGACCTGTGCTTACCCAGGCCATGTATCAAGAAGAAAATGTGCTCTCAGAGCCAGACACTCCTAAGTTTACCCTGTGAGAAAGGAAGAGATATCCCTGAACTCCTGGAGCAGTCTGGGTCACTGCTGACCCTAAAGGATCATACTTCAGAGACAGGGCTAACCTAGTGCCAGGCTAAAAGGTTATCGGAGGGAGATTCTGAAGAATTTTAATACAATCCTTGAAAAGATCAGAGTGACCTGCAAGTAACTTAATTACTCCCTGCCCAAGGTCAATCATCTCCATAGGAAAATAACTAAATCCAGCACAAATGGACACAAAAGCCACAGTTCAAAACTTGTAGATAAATGAAGTAGGCTAAGGTGAGCCCTGACCATGGGAACATGAGCAGCAGGAGCAGGTCCCAAGGTGACAGAAGTGGTAGAGTCAGCAGAGGTCACCAAGCAGCTATGTGACACACTGACACAGCAGTTACAATGTGCTCAAGGCTGGAGAGGAAAACTCATGGGGTAAGCAGGGAATGGGGGTGCAGTAGGGAGACAAAGGAAACGCTGAGTCTGATGTTTGTCATCTCAGCTACTCAAGAGGCTGAGGCAGGAGGATCTCAAGTTTCAGAGTAAAAAAATAAGAGGGGAATGTGGCTCTATAGCAGAGAGATTGCCTAGCATGTGCAAGGATAACTTCAATCCTCAGGACCATAAAATTTTTTTTAAAAAAAGGAAGAATGTCACACTCATTGCACCACTTGAGATGATAGCAGTGCACATACAATGAAGAGCCAATGAACTTGAACACAAACAGAAGAAACAGGAAACAGAGACCAGTGAATGAACGCCCAAGGGCCTAGGCCATAGCTAATAGGGAAGCACCCATGCAAACCATCAGTCAAAAAGAATCTGGAGAAACAATGATCAAAATCACTCCAATTTTAAGAAACTACAAACTAAGAATTTCACTGAGAAGAATTCTAAAAACAAACAAAACCCAAGGCGCAATGTAGTCCAATTGCAGAAAACCATGAAAAAGAAGAAATCTTCACCACAGAGAGGAAGATCTGTACAAGCCAGTGCTGTGGGGGCTCAAGGTCCCATCAGGAACCAGAGGCTGGAGGACAAAGTAGCCGCACCTGTTAGCACTGAAGGATAAAAAGCTTCCAATTGGACCCCTATTCCTAGTGAAAATACATTTCAAAAATAGAGTAAAGATTTATTTTCTACAAATAAAAGCTGAATCTGTTCCAACCAGATGTGTGCTGCAAGATGTGCTGGAATAAGTTATTCAGGTTAGAAGTACCAGTAAATGGAGACCTAAAAAAAGAGCTGAAGAAAGCTGTAATGGTGTTAAAAAAAAAAAAAAAAGGTAAAAATAAAAGCATATCTTTTAAGCTAAGGATATAGCCCAAGCAGAATAACAGAATGCCTGTCTGGCAAGTACCAGGCCCTGGGTTCAAACCACAATACCACCAAAACAAAAAACAATAAAAAAAACCACCTTCCTTCTATGTATTTGTGTTTAAAAGACAATTGATGATTAAAGAAAAAAATCCAAACAATGAGTGGTTAATAACAATGTGTGTGCTGCCTACAGGAGAGGTGGTGAACTGGGAAGACAATGACAGAGGCAGGACGGGCAGACAGGACACTCGTGCCAGAAGATTTCCTTTTATTTGAAGGCAGGCTGTGAGTGAAAGATGTATACTATAACCTCTAACTTGACCACTACAAACTAAACATAATTGCTAGGAAGCCAAAAATGAAGGCGAAATGGAATATTCAACACACTCAGTTACTCCAAAAAAGGAAGATAAAAAGAAAAAGCAAATATCAAGAAGGAAGATTTCAGCAGACAGATAAACATGAGCTGGTCAATCTAGGAGCCGCTAGCTCCTAGTTTAGCAATCTAAACAATCTAAAGGTATAAGCTGTAAGAACTGTACATTCATTTCTTCAGCTGTAATAGCCACATCTCCAGTACAATTTAGCCACATCTGGAAAGTGGCTGATGTACTGGAGTACGTGTGACATGGAACTTCCCACTGTTACCAAAGTTCCTATGAGAGAGCAGTTTCAACCATTCCAATCAGAAAGCAGAGACTGTCCAATCAGGTCTATTTTAAAAAGCTACCACTGGCTAGGCACAGTGGCTCACACCTGTAATCCCAACTACTTGGGAGGTTAAGACACAGAGATCACTATTTGAGGTCAGCTGGGGCAAAAAGTTAGCGAGACATGATCTCAAAGAACAAGCAGGAATGGTGGTTCACTCTCATAATTCCAGCTACAAGTAAAGCAGAGGTAGGTGAGGTCTACAGTCAACCAAAAAATACAATTAAAAAATATGAGAACCTAATTACAAAACAACTAAAGCTAAAAGGGCTAGGCTGCAAAAAAGGCTAGACAAGCTTAGGACATTTTATAATGGTAAATAGCTAACAGAGCAAAACAAAACAATTCTAAACGTGTATTTTCTAATAAAACACGAAGGTGAAATCACAAATCTATGATGAGAGTCAGAGACACAGACACTCTGCTCCAACATGTGAGAGAACACAGGACAGAATCTGTGTGGAACCACAAATAACCAACACTTTTTCACTGGCGGCATGGAGCTTTGGTCGAGGGCTGAGCTTGCTTCCCCATCCATACACCAAGAAGCTCTGCACTGCAGGCCATAAAACAAGTCTCCACATAGTCATGACAGCTGACATTATACAGAATTTGTTCCCTGAACACAACAGAATTAAACTGAAGATCAATAACACAAAAATATCTGTGAATATATAGCATTACTTGAAGCTAAACAGCACACTTCTAAATAACCATAAGTGGAATAAGACATCACAAGGGAAATTAGAAAGTATGTTTAACTGAAATGAAATGAAAACACAATATTTAAATCTGTGTAAGTAAACCAATGCATAGAGGGAAATTTATAGCAATAAACACTTCCACTAGAAAAGAAGAATGGTCCCAAATCAATGATGTAGCAAAAGCAAATTAAACCCAAAATAGCAGAAGGAAGAAAGTAGAAAGCAATAAAGATGAGCAAAAATCAAACTGATTTTAAATAGAGAAAAAAAATCAATGAAATCCAAATCTAGTTCTTTGAACAATCAATAAAATCAATGTTACATTAATTACATGAATTCTAATTGTGTCTAGGAAATAAATACTAAAACCACAAAATTAAACCTGGCTAGTGAGGAACAAAGGAGCAATCCAGAGTAGCAGCACCAGAATGAAAGAAGAGTCAGCACTGCAGACCCTACAGACACAAAGGACATCAGAAACACCAGGAGAAACTTCAAGCCCTCCATTTGAGAACTCAAAGGAAATGAATGAGTTTCCTGAGAACCCAAGAACTATACAACTCACTTGAGAGGAAACATATTGCCAACAGCATTGTGACCTGAAAAATAATGAACTTGTAATCTCCCACAATGAAAGTTCTAAGCTCAGGAGGCATGACATGGCATCTTTACAGGAAGGGTAATACTAGTTCTGCATAAATTCTTTCAGAAAACAAGGGGAAATACTGCCCAACTCATTTCCAGCACAGTAGGTTGTCAGTTAAATGACACTGGCCTTTGCATGTCTCAAATTCTCTCAGTGTACCAGTCCTTTCAGTCCCACATGCTGGCCCTGGGGCCTAAGCATCTACCCACACTTTTTCAAGGAACAGCCAGTATTGCCACCATGGAGCAGATATGAACAGGCATTTGGAGGACAGCTTAACTTATCTGCACCTGCCAGGGCCCTGGGACCACTTATACCTGGGTCATTCCTGCTCCCCAGTATGTGACTAGGCTCCACACTTACAGCTTCCTGGACCAGGTACCATGCCTATGCTAACTTCCATTGGCCTCCTCAACCATCAGATACCAAAAGAGCTGCTCTTTCTGGGGAAATGGGCCTGTCTAAACCCAGGGTGCTCCATTCAAGGCCCAGAGTAGGCCTGGGCTAACCCAATCTTGTAGATCTGCCCTCACTGGCACGGCAGGGCAGAACCCCCTGGATGGAGCTTTCTGCTGAGAATAAAAGCCACTTTCAGGATCAGGTGCAGTGGTCCACACCCATAGTCCCAGCTCCCTAGTTGGTGGAGGTAGGAAGACCATCTGATGCCAGGAGTTAAGATTAGAATACCAAGACTCCCATCTCTTAGAAAAAAAAAGTAAAATCAATTTGAAAACAGTATGCTTTATGCTGGTCATAAAAACATAAAAACAGCCGGGCACCGGTGCACACTCCTGTAATCCTAGCTACTCACGAGGCTGAGATCTGAGAATCATGGTTCAAAGCCAGCCCGGGCAGGAAAGTCTGTGAGACTCTTATCTCCAATAAAAAAAAAAAAAAAAAAACACTAAAAACCGGAAGTGGCGCTGTAGATCAAGTGGTAGAGCACTCACCTTGAGCTGAAGAACCCAGGGACAGCGCCCAAGCCCAGAGTTCAAGCCCCACAACCAACAAAAATAAATAAATAAAAACAGTATGCTCTATACTGGTCATAAAACCAACTCAGCAAGTCTCAATGAGCAGGACAGGCAGGGGAAGGAAGGACAAGAAGACAACAGCACTGGGGTTGTTGCAAGTGTGAGCAAGAGGCCTAAAGTGCCCATACCTCAGCTGTGTGCCTACACTGGGCTGACATTGCAAACGTGCTTCAAAACCACACAAATCGTGTGGTCCAAGAGCCTGTGCAACTGTAAGAAGGGAGCCATATCCCCAGCTCAGCTCAGCTCTGGGGCAATGCGGGAGGGGTGTGAGCTCACTTCAAAAGGGTCTGTAAAAATGTTTGCACGTGTGAACAGATGGGCAGCCAAGTGAATGAGTGGAGCATAGACTGACGGAGCAAGAACATTCAGATGGTGATGGATGAGGAGGGTGAGGAACCGAGGAGAGAAGCCGCTGGGGGCGGGGAGGGGGTAGGGTAGCCCAGGCTGCCTGGCGGAGGCAGCCATCTTCCTGGCACAACAGTAACAGCCTAGTGGGAAAGGAACTCACCTCTGGGCAGCTGGAGGCCATGGCCCTCAGGGGGCAGGGCCTGGCAGGAGAAGGTCTTGGCCACTGCCTGCTCCACAGGTGTGAGGGTCAGGGCCTGAGCTGGGGGCAGTCTTGAGGAGGTCACCCAGCTTGCGCCGCACAACTGCACGCAGGTCCCGCCATTTATGCTTCAGGTCCACCACATCTCGGTGGCAGTAGCCCAGAGCATTTACTGACTGCAGGATGCGACTCCACACACAGTACCTGCAAGTAGGCTCAGCCTTCAGCAGCCCTGTGCCAAACAGCAGCTGGTGGTGCTTACTGACCTTGGATAATAGCACCTCTGTCTCCTGTGGGCAGAAGTTGGGCTTCCTCTTCTTAGCCCAGGTGATGCTGGATCCTGACTTCCGGCCAGTGCCAGTGGCAGGCAGTGAGGTGAGCTCCTGACTACCTTCAGGAGAAACTCCAGGCCCTGGAAAAGAACCAAAAGGCAAGTGTTTAGGCCTAGACTCCAGGAAGCCCCACAGTTGCCAACTCCCAGCCATCACACTTCCTTCATGTGTTTGCAGAGACCCAGACCCAAGACCCCAGTTCAACCTTGCTCACACCCACCAGGGCCCTGTATTCTGAGGCACAGTGCCCCACCACCAGAGGCCCATCTGCCTTTCACAGCCCCCTGAGGACAGCTCCTACCACAGCCCCTGGCTGGGGACAGCCCTGCCAGTCAACAGGCCATAGCACCACGTACACCTGCCTGCCAACTGCACAGCCTCTCAAACCTGGGGGGAGCTGGCCTTGGCTTCCTCACCTGTGCATATACAGAGAGCAGGCAGTGCTTCCATGACCTTCCAGCTCACAAGTACTTTGGTATGAGCCCCCAAACATCACTAGGATCACCCTTCTCTCATGAGCTTTGTCCCAACTAGACTTGGCTTCTGTAGGTAGGAGCCAGGTCTGCTGCCGGGATATGGCTCTGTAGGGCTGAAGATAAGGGTTTCTCAGTCAGGGATAGAGCCCCAACACTAGATGACACCCTAGGGACAGCAGAGGAATGAATAGGCCCACTGGGGAGCAGCAGCCCTGTTCTCCTACTCCAGCTTCCTTGGAATCCAGAGAGGCCTCTCTGGCAGTAGAGATGCTACCAGGGCATTGCAGCTATGCCTCCCAATCACACAACACGGACCTGAATTCCCTCTCAGCCTGCTGCCCAGAGATAATTCTGACTCTGGGGTAGGCAGCGGGACCACATCCGCCAGTACAGACCTCCAGGCATGAACTCTCCTCATTTGGTCCTGGTAGGCAGGGCCTCACCGCCATGAACCTCCAGGGTTCTGATGGCAAGGATCATCACAGGTTTCCCATTCAGCCCTGCTGCTGTGGCTGCAAACTCTGCCCTGGCCTCCTTCCTCACAGCTAATGCTACACCATGCCCTGACCCCTTTGGCGGAGCAGTCACTCCCTCCTCCATACTCAGAATCTCTGAGGGTCCTTCCCAGGTAACTAAGACCCAGCATCCAAGTGGAGGTACCTCGCTTCCTGGCCCTTGGGCTTCTGGTGGTGCCAACCGGCCCCAGATCACCTTTCCCCCTCCTTCCCCACTCAGACCTCCTGTGGAACGCTCTCTGGTGGTGGGCAAGAGAAATGGCAGATTCCATATTCGGTCCAACATCTACAGCAAGGGACAGTTACAATTACTCCCAATCTGTATGCGCAGCTAGGGGCACACTACTGAGAGTGTCAGGTCCCACATAAGGGTACCCTGGGCCCATCTTCTCCAGGAAAGTGCTCCCTGCCTGCTATACTTCCCAAATGCCTCCTTTTGTTGAACACCACAATCAAGTCCAGAACTCTAGATATTCTGAATCTTTTCTAGAGTACAGTTCTTCTGAAAGGTAACCACAAACCAAGACAAGTGCCTAGACCAGGGCCCTCAAGTATGTCCTCAGACAAGGCCCTCAACAGTGGCTCCAATCTACAAGGAAGAGCACAAAAGGGAAGGCTCAGCCTCCCCATCACACAACATTGCTACAGCACTCCATCAGGATCAGTCCGTGTAATCAATAAAACATGTTTCCATGGCATGGAGGAGAGAGATGAGGGCTGAGAAGTGCCTGTGTGCAGAAGCCTGCATCTCCTGCCATCACCACCCAGTAACACAGCACACCCAAGTACAAGCTGGGACCCACAGGGACTATGTCTTAATTTGCTCTGATCATTTTCTGTTGCTCAAAAGACATGGCTGGACACCTTCACTGAAATTTGTAGAACCTAGAATGCATCTTATAAAACAGTTGCCACCTCTAGCATCAAGATGTGTCTTTCAGTCCAGCGGAGCCAATGGTGGGCAAGGTATGCCAGGCCACTGAATGGACTCCCCATCTGCCTGCCTACATCCCGCTCTGTGGGGACATGCTATATACTTCCTGAGGAGCAATGCCCAAATATCTATCCCCTAGACAATGGTGCTGCTGGATTAGAAGCCCTTTCTGATCTCATCAGTGAGTTTCTGAAACTTCCAAGACAGTGTAGCCACACTGGCCATCTCCATGCTGAGCTCTAGGAGAAGCAGTTCTTGGGGAAAGCTCTTGTGCAGACCCCAAGCCCTTGTCTCCCACGAAAGAGAGAGTGGGAGGACACTGTGGTTATTAGTCTCTCTAATGAGACTAATGTAGAGCTGGTGAAGATCTCCCATTCTGCAGCCGTCTCTTCAGCCTGATGACTACATCCTTTGTGCAGAAGCTTTTCATTTTGATGGGATCCCATTTGTCAATTCTCCCTCCTCCAGTGGTTGAGGTTCTATTTAGGAATACTGTCTATGCTAGTAAGTTCTAGTGTTTTCCTTGTTCTTTCTTGCAGTAGCTTCAAGTTTTACATTAAGATCCTTAGTCTACCTTGAATTATATTAATACACGATGAGAGATAGGGATCTAGTTTCAGTCTTCTGCATGTGGATATCCAGTTTGCTTAGCACCATTTGTTAAAGAAGCCAACTTTGTTCCAAAGACAGATAAATAGATTGATTTTGGGGGCTTCTTTGTCAAAAATCAGATGGCTGTAGGTACAAGCATTCATTTCTGTGTCTCTGAATGTGTCCTTTGATCTTTGTGTCTGTTTCTCTGCTGGTACTAAGCTGTCGTTGTTACCATGGCTCTATAATTTGAAGCCTAGTATTTGGATACCACCAGCATTGCTCTTTTTTTGCTCAAGATTGGTTATTTAAAGCCTTTTTGTGCTTCATATGAATTTTAGGATTGATTTTTTTTCTATTTCTGTGAAGAACACCTTTGGGATTTTGATGGGTACTGTACTGAATTTGTAGATTACTTTGGATGGTCATTTTCATGATATTAATTCTGGGTAGTATGTTTTAATAGTGATAAGGAGCATTCCCTTCTGTTTTGAGTTTGTCCAGTGATAACAATTTGCCAGTTGGCTTTTTTACAGCCATTATCTACAGGACATTCAAATAAAGAGAGGGCCCTAAGGTGCTGCATTATTATCTGTGGGCTGGCAGGAATTTGGTACCTGGCAGGGACTGAGAAAACCCAACTGCTCTTATTCCTGAGGGCATCCAGTCCTCCCTGTTGTCCCACTGGAAGGTCTTTCCCAACCCCTATAGCCTCAGGTCCATGCCCACAGTAATCTGTACTCCAAAGATCAGCCTGAGACAGAGGGAACATAAAGAAGGTTGATAGGATCCCGGGCAGGATCCTTGAAAAAGCCCTGCTTGAAACTCCCTAACCACTCTGGACACCAACCTACTCCTGGCAGAAATGCAATTACTTACTCTAGAAAACATTTTAAAAAGACAATACATGTTTGGAAATGATGAAATCCACCTTTAAAGAAAATAATTCCTTAGCCAAAGAAATCATAAGGGAAATTAGGCAACATTTAGTACTGAACAAAAATTTAAAAATAGTACATGCTTTAAAATCTATACTTAACTAAAGCAGTGATTCTTTGAAAATGTATTATTTTAAATGCTTTAACTAGAAAATAAAAAACAAATATTGAATATGAATGAGCTAAGTCTCTGATCTAAGAGTCAGAAACAATAGAAAGGCATCATGTGCAGAGGAAAATACTAAAAATACAAGCAGAAACAAACCAAAGTTTAAAATAAACATATACCAGGAAGATTAAGAGAGACAGAGCTAGAGACTTGTAAAATTGCCACATCCATGTCATACAGATTATCATGACAAAAATAGGAAGGTGTAAGTACCCAGGAGGAAAAGGAAAGGGGACAAGATTCTGCTGCCACCACATTAATAAAACAACCCTGCTGACCACTCACCCTCCAGGAGCCCTAGCTACCTCAGCAGACTGGTAGCTTCCCATTCAACAATTCACTCAGCCTCCATGTCCCAGCTAGGGTGTGAGTCCATGTGCTCCCACCTGCCAGGAGGATTCTGCAGTTGCTTACAGCATGCGGGGTCTGAACAGGATGCCTCAGCATCTACACACAATGATGCCTAACAAAGCAAGGCATGAAGGCACTATGTGTGTGACTTTACTTCAATAAATTGCAATGTCTGAAATAGACATATTTCCAGAAAATGCCATTTTATAAAACTGACCCAAGGAGAAAAAACTTGAATAGCTTTTTACACATAAGGAAATTAAAGTCAGAAATCTCTCTGTAAACAAAACCAGTGAAAGTCAGAAATCTCTCTGTAAACAAAACCAGTTTCGTAGCAAAACTCACAAAGAGAAGAGGACTACAGAAGCCCATCCCAATTTATTTAAAATTTTCAGCAAAGCAGTGAGAAAATGATAGAAGGAGAGGAAACCATACTTATGATTTGGGACTGTGCTCTCTCCAGGCCTGGCCACAAGCAGTAGAACCCTCCAATGCAACATTGGACAGCTACTAGTCCACGAGAAGGAGTCCATATCGCAGAGTCTCTGGGACCTCTGCAAGTGAGAAGAGCTAATGTCACCACAGAAGGAGAGCAGTAGAGTACAGAAGAGACACAGCTGGCCACACACAGAGAACAGCAACAGATGACATAGGACAGAGGGATATATTGGGGGTCACTATATTACCCTGTGTTTCTTCAAGCATAGGTTTTTAAAGTTTCTATATTTATAAAGTTAAAAAATAAAATATATTAAGATTAAATCTCTATAGAGTTCACTTTTCAAAAAAAAAACAACTGTGTGCACAGCAACAAGAATTGGAAACACTGTAATGTGGAGAATGGAACCACGCATACTAACAGCAAAGTAGGTTTTTACTCTGTCAAAACAAACTTAAGAAAAGGTGAATAGATCTTTATGGAGAAAAGTGTAAGACTTTATTGGAAGACATGAAAGAAGAGCCAGGAAGTACAAAGATATAACGTGTTCATGGTCTGGAAGACAGAAAGATAAAGACACTAATTCTCCCCACAGTAATCCAGAGGACACAAAAGAATTCCAATCAAAACTTCAATGGTTTGACAAGGCAGTTCTAAACTTTACATGCAATCACAAGGAGCCAAAAATACTTAAGAGACTGCTGTAGTAAAACAAGGCGGCGGAGGGCAGACAACTATCCCTGAAAACACTGAGACTTGCAATAAGGTTATGAATTTAGGTACAGACTGTTACATCAGGACCCATGGAACTTTGCTCCCATGAGTGTGCTCCTCCCCCCACCCTTGCTCACACAGAGCCACACTTGCAGGTCTGCAGGACAGAACAGACAGTCCTGACAATGGCTATCCGTTCAGAAAGATGACAGTAGAGTTCCCACCACCATCACACCATCTACAGAAATCAATCTCAGGTGATTACAGACTTATGAAAAACTACTCAGAGAGAAAAGCAAAGGATACTATCATTGTCCTCTTGTGATAAGACTAATTAGCCTAAGCAAGAAAGAATCAGCCTTACTGGAACTCCTAGATAGACACAGAGCACCTGGAATGGCCTTCTGCTCGCTAGCAGGCCCTGAGATGACAAGGACCCAGCCAGGCTTCCCGTCCCAGAGCACAGAGGAGACTCTTGCAGCACAAACTAAACCCAAGGGAAAACAGCAATCTAAACATCAACCAACAGGGAGGACCCAAATGCCCAAGTGACTTATGAAAAGATAATCCCACTGTCACCAGAGCAATACAGATGTAAGCTAGAGACTGTATCATACCCCCAAGCAGTTCTTGACTTTGTCAGGACAGCAGTCTGACATCATTTGATACAACATTTGATGGAGAAGAGAGAGGAGGCCTGGGGTGGGGGGTGGGGGGTGTCATCAACAAACAGTAGAAAGAGTATGATAAAAATGGAAGAGTAAAAGAGGAGAGGTGTAGAGGTGGAAGACAAGTTTGGAGGTGGGAGGAGAGGCGTTAAAGGAAAGGAAAAAGAGGAAGGGGACAAGTGGAGGAGGAGAAAGAAGAAGGAAGAAGAAAAGGAGGAGGAGTGTGGAATAGTAAAGAGAGAAGGAAAAGGGAAGAGGGAGAGGAGACAGGAGGATGAAAAGGGGGAAAAGGCAAGCAGAGGGCCATGGTGTGCCCACTGAGCTATGGGCCACGCCCATCCTCTCAGAAACAAATGCATAGCACATTGGCAGGTCACAGAACAATACAATAGCCTAATCAGTGACATAAAGTCAAAAACCATGCCAAACTCAACAAGGTACCATTTTAGGATATAAACTCATTAAAGTAAAACTAAGACAAGCAGAATTGATTGATACACTATTCAAGGCCAGTAAGGAAGGAAACAATCTGGGAAAAGGTGAGTAACAAGGCATCAGTGTCCCCCATCTTTAAACCATGACATAGGAATGTGTCATGTACAGCCTATGTACAGCACAGGCACAGCTTTGTAGCCACTCAACATTGCAGAGAACATACTACAGCCTAATGTCAACAAAGCAGCTTGTCCTGTGTCTGCTTCAGCCTCATAGGCTGCCTAGTCATGGAGCAGGAGCCATGTGACAAGATGCTGGCCCTGTTACCTATCTACCAGCTATATCCATGGTTGTCCCCTCTCAGGCCCTGCTTATCTTCTCCTGCACTAGCCTCCTTCCCACCAGCCAGTTCAGACTGCCTTCTCCTGTGGTTCCAGTGCATGTTGTGAGCCAATCTCAGACATCTCAGAAACAGGGCCCATAAGGCACAGGCTCACCTGCTTCCTCCCAATGACATACCATGATTCACCTAGAATGCCTGGATTCAGCAGATGCCAGCAGGAGATGAGGCAGTCAAGATGGGAGGAGCCCAAGCAGCTGGCATTCTTGTAGGAAGGAAGGTCTGGGGTAGACAGTGTCTAGACTAAGCTCTGGGCTTGGGCCTGGGGAGGCCCTACTGGATAGCAGCACTGTGAGGAGGAGGCAAGTGATGACATTTTCACAATCACATAGCCCCATGTCCACCTTGATGATCATGTGCCAGCACATGATGAGGTAAACAGATGCCAGCCATGCTTTGCTAGACAGGAGCAGGGCAGAGGTAGATTGTAAGCCTAGGTGCAGCTCTTGCCCAACCCCACCCTCTGAACAGGGAGCTTAGGGAACTGGGTACTTGCCAAGAGCATAGGGGACCTGCAAGGTGTGGGCCCAGCCCCAGAAGTACTCAAGCCTGGAGCCCTGAGCTCACTGAAACCAGGCTCAACAAACAGGCAGCCCACTGGCCAGCAACAGCTGCTAGACTTGAGACCAAGGCCAGCCCAGGGAAGGGAGAAATGGAGAGCCCATGGAGGTTAAATTCAATTCCTTTCCCACTCTTGGAGCTCACAGAGCCTACCCTGAACAAAGGCCAGGCCAGAGGAAACTGCAGCCAAAATGTGGCCTTGTATGTGCCTGCAGGAGCAGGTGTCCTTCCAGACACCTTGGGCCCACAGCCCAAGGTGATTGCTCAGGGAAGCGAGGAGGTAAAAGTCATGAGGCCCAAAGAAGATCCAGCCTTTCGTGAAAAGGGCACAGAGGTCAATGAAGTATGGCACAGAAACATCTAGAAGAGGATCCCAGCTCTGCACTGCTACATGCCCTGGGGAGCTGAAGGATGCAGCTCCTCCTCTGTATACTATGCAAAGCACAACCTGTTGCACAGCATTGTCAGGAAGACCAGTCAAGACCATCCATCATTCAGCCATGCCCCAAATGCCCCAGCACCACCCCTTCTTTCCTAGTGCCTGAATCATTCCCAACTCAGGCTCAGCAGCCAGCCACTGTGGTGCTAGTCACAGGCAACACTCCTCTGAGAAGCATGAAACTCAGAGGCTGCCCAATGCCATCCACCAACCCCTGCCAGGAGCCAGCTGAAACAAACCAGATATACCATTACCTAGGGGCTGACAGCCTTCTCTTGAAGGAGTCCCAAAAGGATCATGGCTCCCCAAGCCACCTCCACTGGCAACAGATCCGTAAGACATCTTCTTATTAGGGTGGGCAGTCTCCTCACGGAGCTGGAAGAAACATGAAAACTGGGATGGAGAGAAGAGGAAGATAAAGCTCAGATTCAGGACGCGCAGGGCCTGGGCCCACCCCCGCCCCAAGTGCGTGGCTCTACTGTACCATTCCTAAGGCCACCCCAGGTTTCTCAGTAGCCTCAAGACAGTGACCACCCTCAAGATCTTTCTAGGTAATCCCTTCTTCTACCTGACCCTGTTTAGAGACAGGGACAAGTGCCTATGAGGTGCCCTACTCTTCCCTACAGGAACCCAAGGAGAGGGCACCTGGATGTCTCTTAAAGACCACGAAGTCCCATAGAGACAGCCCTTGCACTCCAGGCTCTCCATAGGTATCCACTATACAGCATGTTATACCAGGAGCTTTCACTGCCTGTCAAATCCCAGCCTGGATTTGTCTTCTAGAACCATGCCTGATGGCAGCAGGGCTGGGGCCAGGCTGCTTGAGGGAGTCCACGAGGTGTCACCTTTCTATATTTTTTTTTCTGGTCTGTAATAGGCTTGAACTCTGGGCCTGGGCACTGTCCCTGAGCTCTCTAGCTCAAGGCTAGCACTCAACCACTCTGAGCCACAGCACCATTTCCAGTTTTTGAGTGGTTAATTGGAGATAAGAGTCTCACGGACTTTCCTACCCCAGCTGGCTTTGAACCAAATCCTCAGATCTCGGCCTTCTAAGTAGTTACATTTACAGGTGTGAGCCACTGGCGCCTTTTCTTTTTTAATAGGTATGAGACCTAACTCAGTACCTGACACTTTCACTTATTGGTTATCACTGTACCAATTGAGCCACACCTCCAACCCCCACCCCCATTGTTACATAGGCAGCTTGCATGAGCTACTGGATATACTTATGTCTCACCTTACAGATGAGGACAAAAGAAAAGGAACTACCTACCTCTTAGGTCAATAATAAGGAATAAAATGACATATGTTAGGCATCAGAACGAGGCTGACAGTAAACACTCACCAAGCCACAGTGCAGAGGGCAGCATTCTGCCCTCCCCAAATTTCTCTCACCAAGCCACGGGGGAAGGGGGAGACATAGCATCCTGCCCTCCCAAGCCTGTTCTTCCTGGGAAGCAATTTATGGACCTGGAGGGCAAGGAGGTCTCCAGCCCAGACATTTCCAAGGCCACACCCAAAAGCTCAGTCCCCTGGCACTGCTGTCCTATGCATCCCATGGGCCATCTACAACTCACTCAGTCCCCAATGTCATGGCTCACAGGGCCTGCCATCCAGGCTAGCCTCAATTCTGAAGACCCTACAGCAATGACTCTGTGCCTTGGCACAGAGTCCCAGCAGGAAGATAGAATGGGCTGCAGAGGGAACTGCAGAGAGGAAGCAGCCCAAATGGCAAGGGACCCTGCATGTCTGCCCATGTCTGTGATAGTGGCCCACAGAGCAGAGTAGCAGTGGGGGCTCCAAACTTTGGTTTCAGGCCCCCAAGACACTGCTGAGTATCAGAAGCCCGGGAGAGCGTTAGTAGATGTGGATTATATCTACAGTATTTATTCCAGTAGAAATTATGAGCAGAGATTGGTTTTCAACTGTTTGTTTATTCAAAGTAACAATGATAAACCTATTACTGTTAACAAAGAGAGCATTTGTATAGGAAATGACTACGTTTTCCAAAACAAAACCCCTCAGTGAGAACTGGAGCTTTCCTGTGCTTGGTTAAAAACCCCTGGCAGGAAACAGCATTTACACACCACTGTGTGCAAGCACTCACAAGAATTTACCTCCAGTCACAGCTTCATGCCCTGTGGATGGGCAGGGAGAGTTCCCTTGACTTGGCAGGGGTAAAAACAGGAAGAGAGGTAGGATGACTTGCCTATAGTCACACAGCTTGACCGACAGACTCCAAAGCCCAGCTCCATTGTGTAACCCCAGAGGAATGAGTCCACATAACAAGACTCTTCAGCCCACAGATGCCCAAAGTCATGTTCCATCAAGTTCATAATTATTTAAGGAAGTTGGCTTAGACTGACTGAACCCAAAGAAAAGGCAAGGGGAGCCAGGGCTAAAGGTGGACCTGGGCAAAGTAGGCATAGTGAGCACTTGCCAATTAGGAGAGACTTCTTTAGGAGGACAAAATGTTTCACTAGCATAAAGGAGCCTGAGACAGCATGGAAAAGGGATTCAGGTGAAGTCCCTGAGGAGTACACAACGCAAAGCACAGGAAGGTCATCATGAAGTCCAGAGAAAGCAAGTTGCAAGCGGATGGGAACGATACCTGTGTGCACAATGCATGCACACACGAATGAGCCTATGTTATGTGTTTCAAATGCATGCATACATTATGTTCTGCATGTGTAGACATGCCTGTGTGTTGTATATGTGTGCCTATGAGAGAACACACACTCGTGTGGGGAAACTTTGAATCTCATCTTACAAGTCAGTAAATGATACTTAAAAATAAGTAGCAAGGCTAAGAAGATGGCTCAGTGGTAGAGTGCTTGCCTCGCATGCATGAGGCCCTGGGTTCGATTCCTCAGTACCACATAAGCAGAAAAAAAGCCAGAAGTAGCACTGTGGCTCAAGTGGTAGGGTGCTAGTCTTGAGCTGAAGAGCTGAGGGACAGCGCCCAGGCCCAGAGTTCAGCCCCCATGACCAACAACAACAACAAAAAAAAGTAGCAATACAACATTACTTAGGAAAAGATAGTATCAAAAGAATTATATGAATTAGAAGTAGCTGGCTCTGGGGAAGACAGAAGAGAGGCTTTAGGGATTACTGTTTTTCTTAATCTTGTAGAACTCATTTACTCTCTAAAAGATACATGTGTGTATTGAAGCTTAATTTGTAAGATTTCAATGAAACATTGCCTAGACAGATCTGTGTGGAAAGAAATGGGGGGGAAGGGTGCCCTCAGCAGAGAAGAGCCAGATGGAAGTCACCTCCAATCTTTGGGAGGTGACTAGAGTCACACAGACCAATTTCAGGCTTGTGCTGGGGACCCACCATGCATCAGTCACTGTGGCAAAACACCCAAGGCAGACTTTCCCTGCCTTAGGCACAGATGTCCAGGAAAGTCAGTGTGGATTATTGTGAGCAGGAGCTCTGACAGTGAGCTTACATAGAACTTGGCAGCGGCTGGAACCACAGACAAGAGGGTCTAGCAGATCTCCAGGGTGCAGCTTAAGGGGAAATCTAACAACAGGTACCTCTCACCAGACCAGGCATTTGGGCACTACTAGAACTAATAGGGATGCACTGATAGTGGCCAGCAAGCAAAAGGCATAAATGCTTATGTTTGGGCAATCGATCCCCTCAGCTATTACTCTAGGAAATGACTATTGCAGGACACATCTGAGGGCTGCTGCACAAGCTGGCCGGCAAGGTACTCCTCACTGGCCATGGAAGCGCAAGAAGGGCTAACAAAACCAAAGGAGAGTAGCTGGCAGGGGAATAGAAGTTAACTCTCAGACTAGCTTGGAAACCAGGTGGGTGGTATTGAGACCGCCCCAAGGAAGAGAAGGAAAAGCAGCCATGTTCACAGGAAGACACCCTGAGGAGTTCCACAGGAGAAGCCAAGGGTGGTCTGCAGTGTGGGAGTCCTCTCTGTAGGAACAGAGATCACCCTGGGAGAGAAGCTACTATAGAGAAAAAAAAAACAGCCCAGCAGTGTGAGCACAAGAGAACCAGACCAACATAGAGAAGGCAGTAAGAGACCAGGAAGTCCATGGGAGAGAGAGAAGTTACCATCAGTCCCTGCAAGGACAGAGAGGTCACTGGGTTTTCTGATGGGAGACAAGAAACTATGGGGGAGGGGAGGGTGTCCATGAAAGATGGGTAGCCTCTTACAGGGAAGTTGGTTAGACCTGAGATGAACACCAAGTGGATGGCTGGAAAGGAACTGAGCAAGTTCCAGGATCTGGGAGAAGCAACAGCACCCCAGAGGCCCTTTGGACTGCTAGGAAGGTAGGCAGGAGTCAATGCATAGTCACCACTACAACAGGCAGGAGGGAGGACCCCAGATCCAACCACCAAATAAGATTTGCATGGTAATGGAACAGGGAGGCCTTCCATGTTTGCTCAGCAGACTGAGATGGAGGCTAGCTGCTGGCAAGAACACGGGGGTCAGGTGGAGGCTGGTATGAAAGTAGAAAATGGCAGCATATGTCCTCTGCCTGTGGCCAGCCACAAGTGGCCCTAGGTAGAACCCAGAATCCAGAGGGAGTGTGTCTGCTCCAACAACCCAAAACCCCAGGTGTCCCAAGTTCCTTGATCCATCTACTGCCTGCCATCCTCCTCAGGGCCCACAAGGTGACCCAGGACTGCATACTGAACTGGCTCAGAGCCTGGCACCCCTCACTGCTTAAGTCAGCAGTACCAATAGTACCCTCACTCGCCTGCTCCAGCCTCAGCTCTTGCTGTGCCCCCTACTCTGCTTTCTGGAGATCCTGCTGCTGGCATTCAAGCGCCTTCCACCTCCATGCCTGCGCTCAGGCTATGCCTTGTTTCCACCTGTCTCTGCCAGTTCCACTCTCAAATTCTTAACCAACCTCCCACCAGGCTGACCAGTGCTCCTGCCCTGTACCTCCTGCCCCACCTGGGTACAGAACTCCAGGCTCAGCCCTCACCAGGCCAGAGCATCTCTGGGCTCCACAAAGTGCACATCCTGCTGCTAGGGGAGACTCTGCCCATCATGCTCTCTGCAAGAAGCTGGTCACCTTGACCTTCTAAAGTTGCCTTTCTCAGAGTCAACCCAAGTCCAGTGCCTTATCCACTTGCCCTGTCATGCCACCAACCTACAGGCCAAAAGACCAGGGCTGCCGGGCACTGGTGGCTCACGCCTGTAATCCTAGCTACTCAGGAGGCTGAGATCTGAGGATCATAGTTCAAAGCCAGCCCAGGCAGGAGAGACCGTGAGACTCCTATCTCCAATAAACCACCAGAAAACTGGAAGTGGCGCTGTAGCTCAAGTGGTAGAGCGCTCGCCTTGAGCTGAAGAGCTGAGGGAC